ATAAAGCGGTTTTGAATCTGTTGAAAAACACACCTTTTGGGGAGATTTCATCGTCGGGTCATCACACCACTTCATCTACAAAATTGACGCAACTGGTTAAATGCTATGCCGTTTCCACGGCTGCAGTGTCGAAGGCACAGAGACTATTACAACTTAAACTTGTTTGGTACTGAAATGTTAATTACGAGATGCATTTTTTCGGAACGCCGCCAGTAATTCATTTGTTTCGTAACTTCTTTAGTTTGTGACAATATTTCCCTACCTTTCCTCAACGGGTATAATCACGAGAGCAGGCAAAAACGAGCCATCGCTTCAGACAAAGCACCATAGTGTAGGTATTGCACATAGAGACAGCATTTTAGAAAGGGCACTGTCACCAGTACAACAAGCTCTACAGCGTTTGCGAAGCTCCTGAAGGTAGGCAGACGCATGCCCGGGTATCGCTCGAAACCTGTACCTCCACCTTGTCCGGAAACAAGTCATCCGATTCATGAATCATTCGTTTCAGCTATCCATGAACTGCCGTTTGCCATCGCAGCGTACCAGACCACGGCCGGATCGTGGCAGCCCTGCCGCGGCTGTGCTCCCGCACCTGGGAGGTGCAGTCCGCTGCTGAGTCAGCCTCTCCAGCACCTCCACCCGCAGTTCTCAGTAGCTCCACCTGCGGTACTCAGCACCTCTAGCTGCAGTCTTCAACACCTCCACCTGTAATCCTCAGCACCTCCAGCTGCAATCCCCAGCACCTCCAGCTGTAATCCTCAGCACTTCCAGCTGCCGTCCTCAGCACCTCCAGCTGCAGTTCTCAGCACCTGCAGTTGCAATCCTCAGCACCTGCAGTTACAATCCCCAGCACCTCCAGCTGCAATCCTAAGCACCTTCACGTGCAGTACTGAGCACCTCCTGCAGTCTTCAGCACCTCCACCTGCGGTCCTCAGTGCCTTCAGCTTCAGTCCTCAGCACCTCCTCTGGCAGCCCTCAGCACCTCCACCCACAGTCCTCAGAACCTCCAGCCGGTGTGGCCGGGCGGTGACGTGATGATCAGGACGACATCCCGGCCACGGTCAGAGGCAGGCTGGCGGCGAGCAGAACCAGCAGACTCTGCACGGTGTCCACGGACCACGACGTCAGCGTATTTCTCAGCTCACTTTAACGAGACTATTACTTTGGGACGTATGTTACCCTTTGTTTCAGCCGTCGAGAGGCTCGGCGCGGTGAATTGTTGGGCTGTGGTAAATTCTCCGCATACCACAAATCACCGTTTGGCCACGCCTGTTTTTGTTTGCATTGTTAGGATGAAGAATTGAGGGAGGAATCACGCACTGAAGTTGGACTCTGTCCTGGTCTCACCATTCCTCCGAGGCGAATGAATGAACTGTGGGTAATTCAGCATGATATTGCGATATTCAACCCCTGTGTCACGCTCTCGGGTTTCATATGACGCCATTCATTTCCAAACGCTGTGTGCCACACCATTCCGAACAAAGCTTCAATAATTTTACCCTCGTATATCTCCTCAGAATCTAATAATTCAAACACGAGCTGATCCTATTAACCCGGATGCTAATTAAGCGCTGGAGCCATTTGCAGGCTCGATAGCCTGTCCGTAATGTTTTTTTTCGAAAGTGGCAGGCACCAAATTGAAATCGAGCCCAATATTTAAGCTGGTAATTCCACTCGGCGGGTTTTAAACAGCGGTATTGGGAGATCGAACGCGCTCAGACCGAAGGGGAAGTCAGGAACGCTCGTGGGTTGAGGGAGCTCAGAGGAAGGGAGCTCAGAGGGAGGGAGCTCAACTCACCAGTAGAGACAGCAACAAGTCACCAGTAGAGACAGCAACGCGGCGCCAGATGCGCACCAGAGTAACCCAGATTCTTGAGGAATACAAAACTACAAGGATGGTTTTAATTACCGCCAAGCAATGCGAGCTATGGCTAGCTGGAAAACAAAAGGCCTCATTTGCAGGCGGAGCGAAGCACAGGAGAAGGCAAATTGTGCATTGTGGCGTTTAATTGCTTCGAAGGGTAACTTATCAGAGGTCATAAAAGTGCGGAGGTAATTTACGAGCCTGGCCTATCTGTGTGCGTTATACGTTAATTACGGCCAAATTTGCGCCCGTCTCTAAGTCCTAATGTTACGTGTTCTGGACACGAAAGTACGACAGTTGGTATCCGGGAGTATGGGGATGTGCTGCCCTGTTTCTCACCCTGATGAGCTCTGCCCTCTTCAGACGAGATCACTTAATTACAGACCGGCGGGCAGATGAGTGTGACTGTCGCTACAGCTGCATGCGCTGCACGAATATATTTGCTGGCTCTTTCTCTTGTTATCTCTGCATGACTTGCGCTGGTGACTGAAAGCCTTTCAGCTGGGTGTCGTCGGGACCGCGGGCAAAATTTATTCTGCATGTGTGGGGAGTCAAAACTAGCCATGTTTAACTTTTCAAACTAAGACGACTAGCCTTATTGCATACCCCCCCCCCCCCCCCCCCCACCTACCGGAAGGTTTTGCTTGATTTCATAATGAAATCCAAGGTTCGATCAGTCTTTCCCGCAAAGCCTTTTCGAGTTCGTTTGCAACGACAGAGGAAGATCTCCGTGGTTGCAGGGTGTCTGTGACCTCCTCACCAAACGGCGGAGGCTCAGCGCGCGGCAGCTCTGAGCTGGGTGGTCCATGAACCCCGAGAGCCACAAGAGGACGAAACGCTTGCACAAGAACAGAACGGTGTAAACACATGGGATGGTCAGGAGCAGGCACATGCAACTTCGGTGTGGGCTTTTGATAAGTGCATAGGGCACTACCATAATTTCGAAGTGCCCGCCCGTGCACCTACTCGGCCCCGGGTGGACTGCCTCCGCCCTCCAAAACCGCTAACTGTACACGACGCTGCCACAAAAAAAACTAAAGTCAGAGTGGCTCTGGCGTGGGCGTGGCGTGAGCTCTGCCTGTGGCTCTGGCGCAGCGCGGCGTGAGCTCTGCCTGTAGCTTTGGCGTGAGCGCGGCGTGAGCTCTGCCTGTGGCTCTGGCGCGAACGTGGCGTGAGCTCTGCCTGTGGCTTTAGCGTGAACGTGGCGTGAGCTCTGTCTGTGGCTTTGGCGTTAGCGCGGCGTGAGCTCTGCCTGTGGCTCTGGCGTGAGCGTGGCGTGAGCTATGCCTGTGGCTCTGGCGTGAGCGTGGCATGAGCTCTGCCTGTAGCTCTGGCGTGAGCGTGGCGTGAGCTCTGTCTGTGGCTTTGGCGTGAGCGCGGCGTGAGCTCTGCCGTTGTCGGCTGCCGCGCTGGGGCTGCTGGCCCGGCTGTGGTGGGCCAGGGATGGCCGGCGCAGCGCTGGCGTGAGTCCGATGGCATCATTGTGGCGCTGGCCGCCCTGGGAGCGGCCCTGTTAAGGCGCTGGCGAACTGGGAGGCAATCATCTGGGCCACATTATCGCTGGATGGCGGTGCCGTCATTCTGAACCGTTAGCCAGATTCGCGGTCGCTGCTGGGCGAGCAATGACAGGAAATCCTGCTTCGCACCGGGGTGCCTCGCGCTTTAGATTGTGCAATATCGGCACGTAAGGCGCGGCGAGCGCGCATCTCCACCCCCGCTGGATCCTGGAGAGGTCAGGCGGCTTGACATTACGAGGAGGCCGTCACACTGGACTCCATCGGTACTAACGCACCGGACTCCGCTGGCTAACCTAAACAAGAACTGTCTGCTCGCTTGTTGCATTCGTCTGAGGGCAACCGTACAGCTATGGTGGAGTATTACTATTAAGTAATAGTCCGCCTGAATACTCATGTCTGTGTCTTGTGATACCTAGCATCCAGAGTCGTTTCGGTATAACCATTCTCCCAGCGGCAGGAATGGAGCGTCAAAAAGAGAAACTGCTCCCCATTAAAATGTAAATGGGGCTCTCGGTTCCGATTAGCAGCCATGACGGCAATTTTCGTTGCCCAGACCACTAATGATCCGGAACCTGACGTGCGCCACACGGACGCAGTGTGAACTCTTATCTCCATGACGACCTGCTGGTGTCATCGGACGACGCGCAGTGTGCGCCAATGAAACGGCTGCCGGCCTGCGTGCTCACGTGGCCGTCATCATTGGCCTCTGCAGTAATGTGGCCATCACATCCCTGCTCTAACGACTGAGCTGTCTGCCAGAGGCTCCCGTTCGGGGCTGTAACGGCTCCTGACGCGACACCATGCCGTACTCGGGCGCGCAGGATCGATGCCGATGACGACACAACATTCTCTGGTGCTCCGCCAGCCAGAGACGGACCCAGCCCGCCCGCGGACAGCGCGGCGGCCCGGCCGACCCGGCCGACACGTCCCTCCGTCGTCAGCGACGACCCCAGAGCACATCCGCACCTGTTGAGCGTCGGTGCCACCGCCGCCGATGGACGGAACCGCACCAAGCGAGGGACGAGCGGGGGAGGGCGGCCCGGCAGTGTCGGCGGACAAGTGAAGGCGCAGAAGGACGAAGGGCGAGTCCAGACAATGTATGCGTTATAGAGGCGGAGCAAGGCAGACGTGGTGAACATGCGAGAGCTCGGTGAAAGGTCCGTTGTGACGATGGTGATCAAGCTAGGCGTTGATTGCCCGCGTTACCGACAGTTCACTTTCGGGGAGACCGGCCTTTTACACACAGCTGTTGCGAATGCGGCCCATGTCGGACTGCACTGTGAAATGTGACTGATGCAGAGCTCGAATATCATTATATAGGTCGACGGGGGCGAAAACTGGCTGCATGACAGCATCTCGGTAAGAGCGGCGCGGCTGGCTGGCAATGCTGGCGGTATGGTCAACACTAAAATGGGAGTAGGATCCGGGGCTTTGATTCCACGGCAGTCGACACGCTGCCGATCCTAACGCCTTAGCACCACCCGGTACCGGGCTCGGGTCATCACGCCGAACGCTCTGGACAGCGGCAGCCCTCTGGGGAACACCTCGGCCGGGGGGGGAGGGGGGGGGGAGGGCGCAGGGGAGAAGGCGGGGGAGGGCGGGGTGGGGGACGCTCTCACCTGACGACGGCCGGTCCGAGTAGCGCGTGCAGTAGACCCAGGCGGGCCAGCGGTTGTCACCCTGCGGCTCGACGGCCGGCGATGCGGCCGGCTTGGCTCGAGGGCTGGCGCTGCTTCCCCGGCGCAGGTCCACCGGCTCGGCACGCTCGTGCCCCGCCGCCGCCGCCGCCGCCGCCGCCGCCGCTGCCGCCGCCGCCGCCTGGAAGGCGCGCAGCTGCGCCAGGCCCGGCGCCAGGCTGAAGTCGGGCCGCAGTATGTTCTCAATGGAGAAGCTGAGCCGCGAGTTGAGCAGCGGCTGCTGGTGAGCTGGCGGCGGCCGCGGCGGGCTGGGGCTGCGCTGGCCGGCCGACGCCGGCTGCACGGCCGTGCAAGGCTTCCGCCGGTCCAGCGGCGGCGCGCGCGCCTCCAGCAGCTTGGCGTGGTTCTCGACAATGCGCTGGATGCTGGCCAGGATGCTGAGGCTGGTGTCGGCCGGGCGCGGCGCCTCGCCGCCGGCCGAGCCGGCCGAGCCGGGCGAGCCGGGCGAGTTCGGCCGCAGCACGTCGGCGATCATGAACGAGCTGCGCTTGCGGCCGGCCGGCGGCTCGGAGCCGGCCGAGCGCGTCGCGCTCGAGTCGGCCGAGCGCCGGCCGGCCTCGCCCTCCGAGTCCTCGGCCGCCTCGGCCGCCTCGACCGGCTCGGCCGGCTCGGCCGGCGCCGGCTCGCTGTCCGACGAGCCGGCGCGGCCGCCACTCTCACAGGCGCTCATCGCGGGCACTGCACTGGGCCGCGTCCGGCTCCCATCCGCGCCGGCAGCGACGCGCGCCCTCGCCGTCCGTGCCGCCGCCTGTGCGCTCGCCGCTCGCTCCCTGTCCTGCGTCGGCGAGCTGCTACAGACCAGCCGCTAATAGCTCCATTATTAGCACCACTGCCGGCATATAAAACAATAATCCGCTCCAGCCTCCGTCGCTATCGCGCCACAATCAGAGCTGCGCTGACGTCACGCCAGGCCCCGCCCCGCGGCCCATGTTCATTAGCGGCGACCAATGGCGACGCGCGTTACATCGCCGTCCGCCCGCCGGCGACGCGCTGATTGGCCGCCATTGGAAAACGTCAGCGCGACGCGCTCGTCAGCGGTAAGTAATAGAGTTTGCAGGCAAAGACGATGACTTTACATAAGACAACTTATTCGCGGCATAATGACGAGGAAATAAGCATGCGTGCATGATGAATGTGCCCTGATAGAGTCGCCTGCACGCTTGTCACCGCGTCGCCTCCTCGTCGGCAGCTGTCACCACTTCTCCAGGAAACAGACACATGGCCTCAGGGCCATGCACCACCCCCCACCATTCCTAGCCTGCGCGCCTCGGCGGGGCTGGCCAGCCCCGCCCGGTTCCGCCGAGGGTGTGCCGTGGTGGGGCGGTGTGCCGGGCCGGGCTGGGCCGGTCGGCCGGGCCGGGCCGGCCGGCCCGTAACTGCCGAGGCTGCGGCGGCCGGCCAGAGCGGCCCAACACCGGGCTGGGGCCCTGCCCGACCCAGCCCGGCCTGCAGCGGCCGGCTTGAGCGACCCAACACCGGGCCGGAGCCCCGCCCGACCTAGCCCGGCCTGCGGCCGCCGGCCAGAGCGACCCAACACCCGGGCCAGGCGCGCTGTCAGCTCGGCTGTTGTATGAGCTGCAGATGCGGATCTGGCTCAGCTGTTGTGCGTGCTGCGGATGCGGATCTGGCTCGGCTGTTGTGTGTGCTGCGGATGCGGATCTGGCTCGCTGTCTCCAGGCGAAGGCGACTGACATCTGCGCCCTCCGTGGCGGTGGCTGGTGCGCATAGGACACGGTTCTGTTGCGGGTGCGCCACTAAATTAGCTAACACTAATAAGTTGATGTCGCAACATTATCATGGTTATAAATGTATTCCTATCTGCCAGTGCCTACTTCTGTTCATGGCATTTCTTCCACTTCCGGCCAGGATGAAATGGTGTTCGTGAAACAGCCGTGCATGCCTGCTAGCATATCCACCGACTTCAGTGAGGTGATTAGCAACTTTTGTTGTTTATTGGCATCTGCTATCCCGCTATCTCATCAATAGGCAGTTTGATGTCACTTTATTCAGTACAAATATAATGTTGTCATTCAGGTGAATTCTGGTGCAGAATGCCTGCAAAATAATTAACCAGTTACTCATTTATTTCGTACCCTTTCCTCCTATGTTTGATGCGCATCGTACTTGCGCTACATTTCAAAGCTCATGCCCCTGTTGAGGATCCTTAGAAAACAATTAACACGAACACCACTGCCACTCTTTTCCTTTCATCCCGAGATGATACCTTTCATTCGGCACCAAAATGCACAAACGTGCGAGTTTTACGTAAAATTGTGTTACAAAGAGTGGACAGCGTTTCATCATATCGCATCACGCCAATCATTCAACAGAACAAAATACCAACAGAAGCTATCATTGCCTCCAACAAATCTTAATCCTATTGTGACTATCCGAACTCTCCATCCTCGCAACGAAACCGTGTTTGGTCTTTACGTATTCCGTACAATGTAAGTTGCAGATACCGACAACATTACACAGCCCACCGCACTTTACAATGGCAGGAATGGCTTACGAGCCTATTCAAATGGAGAGGGCCTATCAAAACAAATTATCCTGTTTATTGGCCACGGGAGGATTTCAACGACGCTGTCCGCCCATACTTTGTCATGTCGAAGACACCGAACATGCCGGTGGGACTGCGGTACGGGGCGGTAAACACTGGCGAAGGGTGTGCCGACCGGCAGTAAACATGCATCACCCGAAGCTGGTGCGTCTGCCGTCTTCCGACGCAGCACGCCCCCCCCCCCCCCCCCCCCCCCCAACACGAGCCGGCCTCGCCGACTGCAGCAAACAGCTGGCGGAAACTGGGGCGGCCTCCCGCGCAACGTTGCGCTCGCGCCGATATCAGCCAGGTGTCTATCCAGGCTTACACGTCCGCTGGGATATCTGGAGTTGGTCCCGGTATCATTATGCTAGCATTTTGTAGGGATTGTATAGATTTGTCTTCAACAAATGCGCAGATGGAAAGATCTGGGGATTGCTACCGTACGCCCTATTGAGCCACTGAAACCAACGTTAGGAATGGGACATATAGGTGTTAGATATTTTAGATCCAACAATGGCACTGGACGCGTCATTATAGAATATTTCTAGCAATGATGAGAAGAAGAGAGATTAAAGAACATAGCTACGCCTACAGTAATGATGAACTGCCTGTGTTGATTAGCCAACGGGTTTGTGTTGGGGTTCTTCAAAGCAATCGAGTTAAAAGATGCCCTTGTGGTGTTGGTGTCCGTTTTCTGCCACACCTCGCTCCAGGTATCCCTCTACAGCATAGACGCAGCCAATGAGGAGGGACGGGGTCTGGTCTCCCACAGGCACACATTTTTTCACCATAGATGGCTTCTGACAGAAAGTGAAATATTGGCATGCTGCATTTCCACTGAGCTCCTGCTGCTCCCCCCTCCCCACGTTTAGAAGATGTGGGCCACGTCCCTGTTTTGCAGTTATGAAAAGGGCTTTGGCTTTTACCAAACCAAAATATTTAAGGAAGCCAGTTTGTTCTCCGCTGGATGCAAGCTGGTTCGTTTGCAGTGCCGTAAGATAAAGTATTCCCGATAAGAGGATCAGCAATAATAGACGTTGCATGATTTAGCACCTAATAAACTATTTGCGCTATCACGCCTTCTGCAGTCCGAAATCGGAGACATCCACAAGCAACACTTTGGCGGAGCAACGTCCAACAGTTTCCACACATAGGTGGCATTGTTCTCACCAGCCAGTGGGTGTCCACTTCGGTACAGTGAACTCTCCATTTATCAGTGTGACGTACTCACCAAGGTTAAAACAATAATTTCGTCCTCACGCTGAGATATTTTGCAGTCAACTTTCACCTGATGCAATCGTTTTACAGGTAATTAACCCGAGCTGTAAATCATCAGGAGGTTCGCAACACCTGTCTCCGAGCATCATGAAGTACCACCGCGGCTGACAAATATTGCCATCCACACTTCTGAATCCTGTCCCGGCTGATATTCTGTAGGCTGATTAATGGCCTGAAGATTGACACCCGTGGATATGGCAGCATGATATGGTAGCGTTGGGTGCGGCAGATTTCGGATAAAGCTGCAGCGACGTTTTATAGCGCGGCAGGCGCGCCGCGTTGCGTCTCGGCCTGGAGCAGGACTCACTCCAGCTAACGGGCCACTAAAGAGCAGACCATTGTCCATGCTGCTTCAAGACGCTGACGTACCTATAAGCTCTCCCTGCTGCCTGCCTACGGTTCTGCATAATAAATGCCGACTGGTAGTCGGTGCATGCATAGTGCAATACCGGGCTTCATTTTTCATCGCCTGGATACCAGTGATCCAGTGCCAAGTCCCGGTGCTGGCCTTGCAGATGCTGATTATACTATGGGGTGAGCTTACCCGGTCGTGGTATGCAGCAGCCAGTGGCCGCACAAAGCCTCCGGTGAGCTGTGGAAGCACCTGAAAAAACTTCCCCTGTGCTCCGTCGGGGCACCGCGTGAATACAGAGGACCCTCCGCGACCAAAACAGAGGACCTTCTTAGGACCAATGCTTGTGTGATCTGGGATTGCATGAGATCCTTGGGAACGAAGAGTGCGTATTTGACAGCCCGGTGCCGTGACTGACTTGCAAATGATTCCTGAAACAGTACAGGATTCCTGGGGCGATAACAGATTATTGAGATAAAAGCTCATGGTTTCTTACTTTTTATGACACTGAAAGGAGCTTCTCGAAAAGAAAGGGACCCGGCTGAGGTGGGTTTACGAGGAAGGTCCCGTTTTTAAGAGGGAGGTGTTAGGTCTGTGTTTGTCTCTACTAAAAAAAAAGAATGAGTTTGGAAAAGGCTGGACGATCGCTGAACCTCTGTCAAATCTGCTGCCACGGGAACGATTTCGGAGGAAGTATCAGTTGTCTGTATGCAATCTGACTAAACACTTTTCGCGCACTGATGGAGAATAACATTATACGTTGCGGTTACTGACAAAATTACAGTCAAAATCCTAAATGTGTACGATAATAATGATAACATGAATGTGAAAGCATAAAAATAATCTAGATGAAAAATGAATGAAGCAAAATGAAAAATGAAAAAAGATAAAAGGAAAAAAACGAATGAAAAGGAATGATGAATGAAGCATAGACGATAATCTATCTGCACCACTTTACACACCAGTCCTTTGCTTCTCTTACGAAACAACAAATGAAGCCAGAAAAGCCCATGAACAAACTGCGCTGCTAATGTCTACCGCAGCCTCCTCCAAACTCCTCCGAAAAAACACTTTCCACTTCTGAAAATCTCGGAAAAGTTTAACGGCGAGCTTTGAGGAGCTGACAGGAGGTTGGAGGAGCGCTCGAACGATCAAATTAGTTTGGAGAAGCTTTGAGGAAGCGACGGGAGCAGGCCCCTCGTAATTGCAAGAGCTCCTGGTACGCGCCGCGGAAAGCATCTGCGACAAAGGGAGGCCTCTGTACCTGCGGTCTACAGCACAGATACGTATCTGCGCTGGTCTGCAGGCCAGCGTTAACGGGACCTCGTGCGCCACTTTAAGGTGGAGAAGGCCAAACTCGGCAAGCAGCCAAGAAAAATCGCACAGTTTCACGATTATGAAGGAAAGCCATAACGGAGCGCTAAGAGTGTGAAGGATCATTGTAGCCAGAAGTGCCCCCAAATTTTCAAAGCCTTTCATGAGCGTAGCTACCACTGAGTCTGTGTCGTGGTCCGTGAAGTCTGGTTTTCAGTAACTTCGGGAAAAGCAGGCCACCGTTTACGTTCAGGCCATGTTTAACAGCATCAAAGCAGACTTGACCCCTGTAGCATTAAGGTGTGACTGCGTCCGTGTTTTCCCTCCAACGAAACTCGAGTATACACTGAAACTCGAGTATACAGTAACACTGGCTAGGACAGCGCTTCACTTCGACGCGACTGCAGTAGGTTTTTAGCACAAAGGACCAGGATCTATCGATGAGCTGAGATAGCTCGGCGATGGTCCAAAACTGGTGCGTAGGCTCCTCACGCGGCGGGGCTTCCTTCCAGTCAAGAGATGGCCCTTGCCCTCCCTGTTCCCTGAACATCTGTGATCTTCCTGGTTCCTTAGGAGTGAGGTACCAGAGGCCTCCTCAGACGGCGCGGTGGTCCGACACTGGTCAGCAGCCGGTGCTCGCTCCGCCGGGAGTCCGCCCGGTGGTCCCAGAATAACACGCTGCTGGCGCGGGGCAGCCGCACGCTGACTGATTTGCGACGTTCGTCCGGCGCGGCTCTCAAAGGCCCTCTACGGCGGCGGTCTGCGGCTCCCAGAGGGCCTCCACGAGGGGGTCTACGGCTCCCAGAGGCCCCACGGCAGCTCTCAGCGACCGGCAGAGGCCCGCTGCGGCCTCGTGGTGATCTCATACCAGAATTGTTATTTTATGTACGCTCGGGGAACATGACTTCAACTTTTAACATTTGGTCCGTGACCATGCACGGTATTACTGGCGCTGTTCGTGATGGTGTTAACAAAGGCGTTACTGGACACCTCTTATTATGCTCTTTTCAAGTGACCCAGCTGTCCCACGCCAGCGTGCGGTGGTCTCGTGCTGTGATGCAGTGGTATGTGGGCGCACGTGGTGGTGGCGGGTGCCGTTTCGCGGTCTGTGACCATCCGGTGGTGGTCTGTGACCGCGGGATGATTATGGCTGATTGTGATAGCCGGTTGCTATGTGGAAGCTGTTTGGGATCAAAGGCAAATTAAAAAAGAAAATTGGGTTGTGAGGAAAATAGCATACTCAGCACAATATGGTGATATATCCCCACCCCCACTGCAAATATACATCTTTAGGATGAGGAGAAGCTATGAGCTATGTGGAGCTATGATGTGGCGTACACCTCGCCAACAATGTTCAAATCAAAATCATATTTGGTGTTTGCATTGATATTTGCAAAAACATCCGTTGTTTGCATGGAAGAAAATATTTTGTGGCAGCCTGGCATCAGCATGTGGCTTCTGCCGGTGACGTAAAAGCCTGCGACCGTCAGCTGGGGGTTTGTGACCGTTTAATACCAGTTTCTTAAGTGTGATGAGCTAGACAGCTCTGGGATGTTCGGTGCCCGTCCGAGCCCGAGCCCGAGCCGTCCGAGTCCGAGTTCGAGCCGCCCGAGTCCGAGCCGTCCGAGTCCGAGTCCGAGCCGCCCGAGTCCGAGCTGTCCGAGTACGAGCCGTCCCAGTCCGAGCTGTCCGAGTCTGAGCTGTCCGAGTCCGAGCCGTCCGAGTTCGAGCCGTCCGAGTCCGAGTCCGAGTCTGAGCCGTCCGAGTCCGAGCTGTCCGGGTCCGAGTCCGAGCCGTACGAGTCTGAGTCCGAGCCGTCCGAGTCCGAGTCCGAGTCCGGGATGTCCGTGTTCGAGCCGCCCGAGTTTGAGTCTGAGCTGTCCGAATCCAATAGCCGCCGCCTGAGACATCAGTCCGCGGCTCCCCGTGACCTCGGACCACGGCCACCCGGCCGCAGTCCGCTGCCGTACAGCTGCTGGTGGGAGGCCGGCTAGCGCGGTCGTAAATCAGCCAGGCCCATCGGCAGGGTGTCGGCTGGCCCGGCGGTCGGCCGCTCCGCCGGCGCCGGCCTGATGACACCGATGACCGCCGCCGGACGCCGATCGCTGACGCGCCGCCAGCGCCAGCGCCACCGGCCGAGGCGACGCCGGCGACGGCGCGTGAATCGCGATCACGTGGTGGAGGCGGCTCGGTTCCGTATCGTCCCCATCTCGCCGGGCGCCCTTTGTTCCCACGGATCCGCCCGAGCGCTGACACGGATTCTTGGGACGTTTTGTTGTAAATCTTTCGGTGCGGTGTTCGGGGATTTGTTTCCATTTTCACGTTACTTTATGTGCTCTGGACTTCGGAGTCGTGGAATTTGTTGAATTTTACCTGTCAGTGGGGTCCCCACGAGCGTGGACATCTAGGGCTTGTACCTGAGGTTTTTCGTGCTCCTAACTCAGGCCATTTAGGATGGTGATGTGATTTATCCAGTCTGCACAAATATGGAGAAAAAGAAACAGAGAGGAGGAAGCCGAGGAAGGCTTATACGGTGCGTTCGGCGCGGGCCTCGGAATAGCTGCCGCGACAGACACTGGTACATTACGTGAAAAGCGTAAATAATCGGCTGTTCCCACAGAAATGTTCTCGCAGTTCTTACCAACCACTGCATGCGAGCAGATGGGATATGTCTCCGCAGCGGCACTGCTTGAACGGGACTCAACATATCTCACAACTAGATTAAGATGGGATATGTCTCCGCAACGGTACTGCTTGTACGGGGCTCAACATATCTCACAACCAGATTAAGATGGGACATGTCTCCGCAGCGGCACTGCTTCCACGAGACTCGACATATCTCACAACCAGATTAAGTGAAAGCGAAATTTGAATGGCATATCGTCAATTACGGCACGCCTACCGACTAGCACAACTCAGCATCTTGCCCTCAAGGTCAGCTTTCGCGGCTTTAGTATCACAGCATTATTCAAAGAACATCATAAAGGATGGCCATTAGTTTCTGCTGGTCATCTGTTTCAGCCTTTCGCGACCTGAGACGCCAAGAAGGCTCTGGGGAACAGCTGACCACGGGTCGACGCGCACCAACTGATCATGTCAGGTCGATCTCCAGCGAAAACCTCCCCTTCAGCAGGTTTAGCCCTGGTCTCGTGTCACACCGCCGCCTCGACCCAATGGGGCGGTAGATGGTGCGGCCATGCAATCAATTAAGATGTCTGCCCCGTCAGACGGTGCATGAATGAAGCGGCTGGCAGATTCGCCATTCGATTTGCTTGATGAATAGATACAACGTGCCATAGCGAGAGTCATTTCGCGGTTCGAGATGATGACCTGGGCAAGCAACAGTCGAAATGACGCAAAACATATGGTTACCGAGGCTGAGCGCACAGCAAGCTAACTTTGTTTCATAACAAAACCGCATTTTTTCCCACCGATTTCCACACCGTACCTAAGCGCAAACAGGATCGCGCACCTTTCGCCGTCCCCACCGACCGAGATACCGTCAGCCGGTGGCGATTGTAGCATGACGAGGGACAGGACGAGTGATGCGACGCGTTCATACCGGAGTCTCCGTTGACAGCTTGAAGCACCCATCCGAGGTAATGGTTTGGCACGGCGGCAAGAGTTTAGGCACGGGCTCAGGGGAAAGCGTGCGCTGTTTATCTGGCAAACAGTTTACGGCGGCGAACTGGTGTGACGGTAATGCCGCCGGCTTGGAACGGCGGTCTTCGATTAAGATTCGCCATGACTCCCTGAAGTCTGAGATAACGGTTTTGGCACGCTGCAGTCTGTCGAGCTGCGACGCTGCTCGCTCGACCCGGCGGCCCTCCTCAGCACAGCACCCTTCACATCCGCCCCCACTGGCCCTCCTCAGCACAGCACCCGTCACACCCATCCCGGCGGCCCTCCTTAACACAGCACCCGTCCTACCTACCCCGCCGGCCCTCCTCAACACAGCATCCGTCCCACCCACCCATGTCGGCCCCCCACAGCACAGCACCCGTCCAACCCACCCCGGCGGCCCTCCTCAGCACAGCACCCGTCCAACCCACCCAGGCGGCCCTCCTCAGCACAGCACCCGTCCAACCCACCCCCGCGGCCCTCCTCAGCACAGCACCCGTCCCACCTACCCCGCTGCCCCTCCTCAACACAGCACCCGTCCAACCCACCCAGGCGGCCCTCCTCAGCACAGCACCCGTCCCACCTACCCCGCTGACCCTCCTCAGCACAGCAACCGCCCCCGCCGGCCCTCCTCAGCACAGCGACCGCCCCCGCCGGCCCTCCTCAGCACAGCAACGGCCCCCGCCGGCCCTACTCCGCACAGCATCCGTCCCACCAACCCCTGCGCTTCACCATCGGCCGCCACCCAACCGACCGCGGGTAATGCGCCACCGCGCTGATAGGGGCGAGCACGGCGCGGCGGCGGCTAATGTGGCGCGCCTTGCCGCACCTCGCTGCGGCGGCGGGCCATGGTGCGCCGGCGGCGGCGGCGGCGGCGCCAGCCGGCACGGCATCACGTGTCGCGCCCTGCGGGGCGTGCGAGGTAATGGCGGTATGAGGGCATCAAGGTGATGAGGGCCGCGCCGGCCCGCCCCGCGCGCCGGCGACAGCGGCGGCTCTTCTGGTCGGGGCTCCGGGTGACAACAGCGGTGTGGCATTCTCATCGATTCGGTTCAGATGTGTCTGAAGCTCTCCAAGTGGAGACGACTGAACGGCGAGCGTCCATAAATGAGACATTTGTATCGCCTGTAGAAGGGTGTAGTATCGTCTCAGAAGGGTGGGGCGCCAACATCTATTTTGAAGTAGATTTTTCTAAATCTGCCAAACATGATGTTGTGTGCATGGGCGAACTATACGGTGCAACATGTGTATCACGGGCCACACCAAATTTTATCAAGATAAATATGATTGCACAGTTCCTCCGTTGAAAGATCCTACCTCCAGTAGCTTTTCCACGGCAACTTTTCGACTGGTTTCAGATGCTTGCTGTGCATCATCCATGCGTGTGGATCATTAGTTTTCGGTTTTATTTACCGTCATTTGCCTACATCAAATCCGAATTTTGTAATGTACACACATGCGATTGCCCCCCCCCCCCTTCACAAATGCACGTCGGTAGGTACGGTGTACCTAAATCACAAATTCGGCGTTTTTAGTGGCACCTGCTCTCATGGCACATAACAGCATGATATATTGGATGCTGAAGTGACACACCGACAGCCGTGCTTTGAAACGTCGCAGTAGTGACTGCGCAGGCACTGGAAACAATCGAGTTCTCCATAACGCTCTCGACTTACAGACGCAGGCATTCCTCGAAGGCGCACTGTGCGGCCCGAGCCTTTGTTTCTCGCCGCTCGCCGCTGATTGGCCGAGAGGCATTTCCCTGCCCGCAAACCGGTTGATCCCATTTAATTAACTCTTCAGTTTCGCGGTAAGTGGCGGCCGCGTCGGCCATAGTCCTCCAATCTGTTTTAATTGGCCTGGGGCAGGGCGGCCGAGCCAGCCGGCGTCCTCGGCTCGCCGCCGCCGGCAGCGCGTGATTGCTAGGGCGCCTCCGGTTAGGAGAAACTCGCTGGCGCACCAGCTACATCGGCCGCACGAGATGCGTGGTGTGGGCAGTCGAAGGACCCCGCCGGCCCTGATGCTGCCGCTGACCAGGCGGAGCCGGGTGGCCGACGATATGTGCGTGGGTGGCACGTGAGGTAATGCGAGATAGCTCCGCTAATGGGCCATGCTGCAAGATTAAGACGGGAGAATGACTGGAGCATGCAAACAGCACTTGGGCTGCTGTAGCGACTTTGTATTTCATTCGCTGCCGGTTATTAATGCCGGATTAGTATGCTAATGACGTGCTTTACGATCTGTTCGTAATTGATAGCCTCTCTGGGGTATGTCGCGGCACATACTTCCCTTCAGTCGTTTGTGGGTACATCAATGCATGTGCCACACGCTAATACGACAGACGCGGCGACGTTTGTTTCCGTCTGACAGCCGGGTTATTAAACGGACGTCACACCAGCGCGCGGCTATGAGACTCAACAGGGCAGATGACTACCCCGACAGTACTCAGCTGATTAACAATACCGCCCGATGGTCGGCGGAGGGGTTGGGAAAGTTTTCAATGGGGTTCACACCACTGAGCCGCCGACCCCCCCCCCCCCCCCCCTCCCCCCCGCCGTCCCACCCCGCGGCGCTGCCGCGGCCAGCTGCCGTGTTCGCGCCATAATCTGGCTCAGCGCGCGTCCAAATACATCTCTCTCTATCACGGGCGGTCCTTTCTGCGCTAATCACGTGTTATGCGGCCGGCTGCGCGCCATTTTGCGGCGGCTCGGCGTGGCGCGCCGAGCCTGAGTTATCGGCGCGCTTTCAGTCGGGTCGCGCTCAATGCCGACTGATGGCCGCATTTGCATTGAGAGGCGGCGGCTGCCGCGGTCGGTTAGCGCGACACGGCGCCACAATGGCCGCCGACGCGGACAGGGTGCCAATGGTGCCGGCCACGCATTCAGACGAGCGAGATAAATCCAGCGGCGCCCCCAGCTGCCGGTCTGGGCCCGGATGTACCGGTCGGCCCCCGCTCAGCGGGCCTCGGCTGGACTCAGACGACCGCAAACGGCCGCTGCTGAGAGCAGGGGAGGCAGAGGAGCAGAATAGCTCAAACACGGCCCCTGCTGAGAGCTCAGAGGTGGCTTACACGGGGCGGCAGGGAAGCAGGACACCTCAAACACGGCCGCTGTTGAGAGCTCAGAGGTGGCTCACACGGGGCGGCAGGGAAGCAGGACACCTCAAACATGGCCGCTGCTGAGAGCTCAGAGGTGGCTCACACGGGGCGGCAGGGAAGCAGGACACCTCAAACACGGCCCCTGCTGAGAGCTCAGAGGTGGCTTACACGGGGCGGCAGGGAAGCAGGACACCTCAAACATGGCCGCTGCTGAGAGCTCAGAGGTGGCTCACACGGGGCGGCAGGGAAGCAGGACACCTCAAACATGGCCGCTGCTGAGAGCTCAGAGGTGGCTCACACGGGGCGGCAGGGAAGCAGGACACCTCAAACATGGCCGCTGCTGAGAGCTCAGAGGTGGCTCACACGGGGCGGCAGGGAAGCAGGACACCTCAAACATGGCCCCTGCTGAGAGCTCAGAGGTGGCTCACACGGGGCGGCAGGGAAGCAGGACACCTCAAACACGGCCCCTGCTGAGAGCTCAGAGGTGGCTCACACGGGGCGGCAGGGAAGCAGGACACCTCAAACATGGCCCCTGCTGAGAGCTCAGAGGTGGCTTACACGGGGCGGCAGGGAAGCAGGACACCTCAAACATGGCCGCTGCTGAGAGCTCAGAGGTGGCTCACACGGGGCGGCAGGGAAGCAGGACACCTCAAACACGGCCGCTGCAGAGGTCTCAGAGATGACTGAGAGACTGAGAGAAGGATGGCTCACACGGGGCAGGGGAGCGGCAGGGGAGCAGTACAGCTCAAACACGGGCACTGCATGATTTCTTAGTCTTTATGCTAAAAGTTTTTTTGCAGAACGACGCGGCCTGACACGCGAAGCCCAAAGAAGGGTGTGCACATGATCACTTTCTCGAGGAGATGCTACGGAGAATGCATCATGTGCCTGCCAGGAAGTATCTATACCCAAAAGTGAAACTTACACGACCTCAACGGACATGTCGATAACCGGAAGGACGGAGAAGGTAAGGGTTTTGACCGGACAGGTTACCAGAATGCCCCTCTCAGTGAAGAGCGGGATCAGCGCCTTGAAAAGAGTTTGAAGATGGCAAAATAATGTAAGAAAGAAAGGTCCTGTGCTCCTGATGTCTCGGCATTATGAGTTGGGATTTTACTGAAAAAAGTCGACCTTCAGTTTGCGAGGAGGTCCTAGTCTAACGACGCTGCCGAGCAATGGCCGTATTGACAGCAGTCGACGCTCGGAGCGGTGTGTATGGTCAGACCCATACACAAACACAAGGTCTGTATTGACAGCAGTCGACGCTCGGGACGGTGTGTATGGTCAGACCCATACACAAACACAATGACTATATTGACAGCAGTCGACGCTCGAAGCGGTGTGTATGGTCAGACCCATACACAAACACAATGGCTATATTGACAGCAGTCGACGCTCGGAGTGGTGCGTATGGTCAGACCCATACACAAACACAGTGGCTATATTGACAGCAGTCGACGCTCGAAGCGGTGTGTATGGTCAGACCCATACACAAACACAATGGTTATATTGACAGCAGTCGACGCTCGGAGCGGTGTGTATGGTCAGACCCATACACAAACACAATGGCTGTATTGACAGCGGTCGACGCTCAGAGCGGTGTGTATGGTCAGACACATACAGAAACACAATGGCTGCATTGACAGCAGTCGACGCTCGGAGCGGTGTGTATAGTTAGACCCATACACAAACACAATGGCTGTATTGACAGCAGTCGACGCTCGGAGCGGTGCGTATGGTCAGACCCATACACAAACACAATGGTTGTACTGACAGCAGTCGACGCTCGGAGCGGTGTGTATGGTCAGACCCATACACAAACACAGTGGCTATATTGACAGCAGTCGACGCTCGAAGCGGTGTGTATGGTCAGACCCATACACAAATGCAATGGCTATATTGACAGCAGTCGACGTTCGGAGCGGTGTGTATGGTCAGACCCATACACAAACACAATGGCTATATTGACGGCAGTCGACGCTCGGAGCGGTGTGTATGGTCAGACCCATACACAAACACAATGAATACCACGCCAATATTTCATTCACTCTGAAACACAACACACAAAATGAGTTGATCCTATTTTTCACAGCTTTTTGTGATATAATCCGGTGGAGGATGCATCGCCGAACTGCACTTTAAAGCCATGGCCGCCATCATACTGCATTATAATTCCGTACAGGTTAGTGATTACTAAGAAAGCACTACTAAGTCCTTAGATGACAAGTGTTGGGGGCGGTGCGGGCCTATTCTGATCCCCAGTCGCGCAGGTGTAGTTCAACTAAATGTACAGATTTTCCGTCAGAGTAGATACCCGGAACATCGGGTGAGATGTACCACATGGGCAGCACGTTCTCGATTTAAAAACAGTAACGCGCGCACATGTGGCAGTGGCAGGCCCAGAAAGACGTGTTGTCACGCCCCTTCCCTAAGGCTCTGAAGAGACCCACAACCGGCCGAACGGAAGCAGTTCTGTAACATAAAACGCAAAAATGTACGGCTTTGGCGCACCAGGTGACCATGAACAGCCGCAAACGAAAATGAAGGGCTCATGAACAGGCAAAAATAGCTTTTCGCTCGTGGAGAGCGTGGCGGCTGGGGAGGTTTCAGGGCACATTACGCCGTCCAGGGTCCCTATGCTGTAGCCGGAGGACCCACATAGCCCCTTGCCAAGCAATATGATCGCTTAAGAGCCTTCCACGTTGCTTTGATTTCTTCGCATTTGTTTGCGGGGCCCACGCTGTTGTCGAGGCCACGTATGCTAACCTGCCGGGGCACTCTTCATCGATCAGGGGCCCTCCACGGATTCTTCCAATTCACTGAGAGACTACACGCTATCACCAGGTGCCCCAGTCGGGATACTCTCGGGGGCAAGGGGGAGACCAGGGAGATGTGATCAGGTGTACTGGGGAGACCCCGACCCCGTCTTGACCGTTGTTCAGCGCGCCGCCCCTTGACCCCTTAAACCGCCGCGAGCAGCCGGGCACCCCAAGCGAGGACCCGCCAAGGGCATCAGACATGCAGCGCAGGCGACGAGCCGGTAGACCCGTATGGGGCTCTACGCCGCCCGTCCTCCCCGCGCCCCCCGGATATCCTTGCCCAAGTGGAGTGTTGGGGCGCGCCTCGACCGACCCGCACGACGCGCCCTCAGCCACCAGGATCCGACCCAGCCGGGGACGCGGGCGAGGGGGCATGGCGACCCCGGTAAAACGAGGAGGATGAACGGCGAGAGATCGGGATGTGAGGGTGCGGGTGATAGGGACAGGGGGCTGAAGCTCACGTACCGACAGAGTCGCCAGGCCCTGAAATGAATAGCTTGCGTTGCCCACCCGTTACCGGAGCTGGGACCCGAGAGGGCACTATTCCACAACATCGGCCAAAGCCAGTACCTCCTGCGGACCGTGACACAAGCAAAGCAGGCGTGCTTGATTTAGATACTGAGTTTAAAATGCTCAAACCGGTAGAGCGTTGTGTTGAATTGAAGAATACGTACAATCAATGCACTAGATATTTTTGCCAGTCTGAAATAATTAAGCGTTGGCTGTGAATAAATGAATTTGGCTAAGACGCATTCAAATGCGCATGCAACCATTGAACGTGGGATGAATCAAAGCTGAGTCGATTTTCGCACCGATATGATCTTTGAAATTATAATTCAGAACCGAGTCATTAAACTGGGATAGGCATCGACAAAGCGTTGATTGACAAAAGACAAAATTATTATTTGAATTATATCTGAATCCTTCAACGAGAATCATGAATCAATGCGGGATCGATTCTGGAAAATGCAAATCAAACACAGGCTCATCACAGCTTCTTTTTCCAATTTATTTTTAGTTAGACCCAAGTGATCTTCGTCAGAAGCTTCGTCGGGTTGCAGAATGAGGTCGGTTACAATATGGAGGTATACAGCATGTCTGCACTGGCTGCGCGTTTGGTCGAGGCTACACTTTCCACAAAAATGTACATTTGTCCACACGCCTGTCTGTGTGTTTATCGTCTTTTGCTTGCTGACCTGTGTGCAGGTTAAACAGAGGGTAGCAAGAGCCTGCAATTTTCACGTCACGCATGTACGAGCGTTAGGACTGCGCATTCGTGCTGGCAACTCGGTACGGTCGCCAGTATTATGCGTCAGCTGATCATCAGCTGATAGTATGAATTATGAGCGCCTCGCGTTAATGGGAAGGTCCGTTTTTTATTTTTAAAGAAATATAACGACAGAGAAAATACTAATGTTAGACATTAGGGTCAAACATAATTATGTGCATGGTCAAAAAGCTTGAGCGGCAGGCAAGCCATCGAAAATGCCACTTTGTGACGCGATCGGCGATAAATCTTGGGATCCCCGTTTGTAGGATGGCGCCGATCTAACGAGAAGCGCAATTGCACGCAATGTAGGATCGCACATCGAGGGCGATCGTGAGGATCATTAGTGAAGATGACTTATTCAGCAATACTCGACGCTAGCGGATATGGTACAGCAGTGAGCATTCGACGAAGTGTGAGTTGTGGATAGACTGAAGCTGTGCGGTATCGAAGCGCTGCGGCAGTGATAAGGGATTCAGAAATATAACGACAAAGTAAAAAAGAAAATGACTGGCTTTGCATTTCCGGCTTGCACGAAAAGGCGTGATGATAACTAGCCGATAGCCGAGTAGACGTCGTTGCTTAAAATTACACAGACAATTTACACGCCGTGCTATAAAAGTTCGCGCTCGTTTGGGACTATGTTGCTATAAAACCAGTTAACCATGTCTTCCATTGTTACCTGCCGGCACTGCAAGGCTTTAGAAGTGATCCAAAGGTGTGCTGTGGCCATTCGGCACACGCCCTAAGCAAGCGCTGAGCTAACGCGTTTGTTTTTGTTGCGACAGCCTCGGAGTCAGAGACACTATTTTATCCCCATGAAAGACTGGAAGCAAGCGTCATTCACTGTGCACAGAAAAAGGAGCGTAGAAGCGAAGAAGCTCGGGAACGCGCAGCCCTTTATCAAATTTATGGCATTCATTTACAGGTACGTGACTAAATGCTAACAGTTAAAACTCAGGATGGACACGTAAAAATCAGACCGAGAACATGCGATGTAATGTCGCGTCACGCAAAGAATTTTTATGCCTGCGGCGCGCTGAACTTGGCTTTCAGTGAACACCACTGAATTGTGCCCCCGCTTAGGACGTGTAGAAGTAAGCGGTACATTTTGAGCCATTGTAAAAATAGAGACGGGGTGACTGCGTTGGCTTGTGCCACCACTTGTTGGTGTGCAAGGAAACTTTGCGGGAATTGGTTAGATTGTGTGTGTGCGTGTCCAAAAAGATCCAAATACCACATGGTTGTCCTCCTTTGATAATGATAGGTATATAGAGGATGGTACCAGCTATGCTATGTAAAAGCACCTGTTGTCCTTGCCAAAATTTGGCACACATACGCCGATCAATCTCCAGTTGAAAGACGCGGACACGTGGGAATAGTATCGAGTACACGGAATATCAATTTATAAAGCGACCTTTTGCTCATTTTTCTTTTTCTTATTTTCTTATTTAGAACAGCTGCCTCATCTTGAAACGCTTGAACCCATACATAATGCATGTAGGTATCCACCGATCTCTGCCCAAACCGTTTCAAATTTTCACTGGTGGGCGGGGATTTAACAATCATCAGCACCCCCTCCCAGTTAGCATGTTAACCTAGGTCGTGAAGCGACCTTCCTTCAAACCATCAACGAGCCAGCAGATGCTTCCTCGCTGAAAAAAACACGCTATGCACGCAAAACGTCCTATGCACATTGCACCACATCGTGCAGTTACTACTTCGTCCAAAGAACGAGATGACGGATTAATTTAAACCTTAGATGTCGAGAGATGTAGGCAGATACACGGGGTTGTGACTGAATGCAGTCCTTTCCGTGCATCGCCCAACACAAGGATGGCATGACACAAAGTGCGTCGCATGCAATGAAGTCAATGTAAAAGTCTTCAAGTTCATAAGTTTCTGTTCCTTTTATTCACCGTCTGTGAGCTTTGCAAGCAGGATCAATTTGAAAAAAAACGCCCAGCAGGAGCCCAGGCATATCCTGATATTGACGTGAGAGTTCTGCGCATTCTTTGGCTTCTCTTGTAAGCCTTTCCTCAAGCTGTAGATGGCGCTAAGCAGCTCTGTATAGGTGACTCTGACTTCGAACGCTCGAAATATTAAATGACGAGTAATTCGCTAAATATGAGTCAAAATCAGGGGTGAATAACCCATCCGTGTGGAGCTGGAAAAGGGCAGCGCCCCCGGCTTTCCAGAATACAGGGGAAATGGTCCATCTCACGCGCGAGACACGCGATTTTGGTGTGTTTTGTAGCTAACCTGAGTCATTTTCCTGCTCAGCTCTATAACTTACTTTAACAAACTTCAACGCTGATCAGACCTATGTTCGAAACTTGCTGCCCCGGTTTGCTCAGTTGGTTTTCTTCGCGTTAGTGCCAACCAATTGACTCCCATTTTCTGCATTCTACACGAATGCATAAAACGTCATCAAAGCAAAACATCAAATTTCATGATGATGATAGTTCTCAAAAATCATAAAAACAAATCAAATCGCGGTTCAAATGACAAAATGCAACTACGCCTACAATGATATCACTCATTCTCTGTTCATCTCTTTCATTACTATCTTTTGCGATGAGTAAAGCTTCCGGCCCTTTGCGACGAGCGGCGCGGTACTGGTAAGGTGGGTGGGGGTCTGTGGTTGTTTTCACGTAACAATCTTACAGTTGTAAAAATCGCCGCGAATCCACCGTTGCCACTCGCAAGGACTGTCTTATCAAGCCCAATTTTGTGATGATGTGCATGGGGCGATACATAATAAGTTTATATTCAACGTGTCGTTTTTGTCTTGTGCACTATACGTCTTCCCGGCAATGTTCATCCTGGAGCCGAAGCGCCCTTAAAGACCAATGTTCATGCCTGTTCGACTGAGGTCGTGTTCGCGTTGTATTCCGTGTAGGGTGATAGCTGAGGAATTGAGGGAAATATATGATTGCTGAAATTCCCATTTGAAATGACATGAGCGTGGCAAATAGTGTGAATATGACAATATGAAAGTGAATATGACAAACGACATGAAATGATGTAAGAGCTTAATTTGTTTAAGGTGTGCAAGTGCATTGGGTCTTGAGTTTAAGGAGCTAATCAACTGAACCATTATGCCCAGTATAGAATGATATTAACTATGATTTATGCACTTTGTTGTCTGCAAGAACCCTGGCCACTCAAATGAAAAGTGTGTGGTGACTGGCATATCACCTATCTGCTGCTGTGATTGGATAAATTTTGCTGTCTGCTCTGGTATTGACCACTCTAACAGGTGGAGCTAATTGCTTCAGTCAGAACTTTTGTAGACATTCAAAGATTGCAATACAGTTGAGCTATCTATAATCTGGGGATGCCATGGCCAAGTGGCCGGTGTGTCAGGACTCCCATGCCACTTCTAATGGGGGGGGGGACGGGGAAAACTGATATTCTGGTTGCACTGTCACCCCCGAGCGCTAATACAACCAATTCAGTTGGTGGCACTCCATAAAGAGAATGTGACATTGTGACTCATGATCCCTTTTTTAAGAAAGCTATTTCTTATCTCAAGGAACATTTTGTTGCAGCCAGCAGACAAGAAGAACTGCAAGATGCCAGAGCTGACAGAGGTCACTGAGAGCAAGCCTGAAGTGAAGGTGGAGGTGGAGTCTGGTAGTGACTCAGACTCTGATGACTCAGTCCCCGAGCTTGAGGATGGTGTCAATGAGGCAGCAAGCAAGGTGAGCTTGTGGTCTGAGCATTAGAGTTGTATTTCATCTGATCAGAAAAGCAATTATCAGCAACCATGACAAATGGTACAAGCAATCTGTGTATACAGTTCTTTCTAGTATTTGAAACATTTTGTTTGCTAGCAAGATGCAGACAGGGCATTGCTCTTTTAAAGGAACTATGAGGAGTGAGCTTTGTTCCTGCCAATGGGATTAACCAGAACTAACATTTAATCAAAGTGATTTTGGACCTGTATCAGTCATGGGATGGTATCATGGTATGCTGGACATAACATGAGTTTTTCTCTGTGCTCTAGGTTGCACAAGCTGCCGGCCTTCCTGATGAGCTGACTTCCCGGGCCAAGCAGTCAAGGGGTGAGAAGAAGGCCAGGAAAAGCATCTCCAAATTGGGCCTGAAGCTGGTAAGGTCCAAGAGAATGGTTTTTCCCTTGGGTGAAGACTTATTATATTTGTAGCTATTTTTTCATCATCTGTTCCATTTTTCTACACTTAGAAGGTTTGGGTATCACAGTCTGCAGAAGGTGGCATATGTTTGAAAGATCTGATTGGAGAAGGGTGGGATAAAATAAGATGTAGGCTAGACACAGCATTTTGATTTCACATGACAAAGTTCCTGAAATAGGATAGTTCATGTTACATTGGATGAGCTGCTAGAAACCAGAACCATAGGGACCACAGGTGTAGTGTTCAGTTCCCTGTGTTACTGGTCCTCTTGCCAGGTTGAGATGCAGATCCTCAGCTACTGGGTACATAGTAATAACAGTCCCAGTCACCTATTGCTTGTGGCTGCATGAACTGAGCTGGAATAGGCAACCCAACATAATGTGACCACAGACAAACAGATCAAACAGGGGGGCATTAGTCATGAATGTTTGTAGATTCTTGATGTTGAAGGGTAACATAAAACATTCAAGAATCAATGCCATGTAAGTGTAATAAAGCAGTAAACATGAGTTGGCTGCAAAGGGCAAACCTTTCCAGAACAACATTTATCATAGCTAAAATATAGAAGAAAGAGTGGCCAGAATGCCATGAGAGATTAAATAATGGCCTATATAGAACATAGGTAGTGACAATGAAACAAATGATGCAGCCAGTACTGAAATGCTAAATATTCCCAATGTGTTTCATTTTTCGGTCTTGAACTAGGTGTTGGCTTATGCATGAGTTTGCTTTACCAGATACCACCACAGAATTGTACGAAGTGTCATAAAGATTGTCTCATATGCATTGGTCTGCCTTTGGGGCAGGATTGGACATGCCTGAAGCAGGACAACTAGTCTGCATATTTGGAAGGCTGCTGGCATTGTCAGGTCTTATCAGTGGTCTGATGGATGTGGCATGTATGGGTAGTTCTGGCAAGGTACTGGGTAGAAAGCTCCTCAATGGACAAAAGTACTTTTAAACCAGTGGTGAGATATGGAGTACAGTGATCATTGGATATGGGCACAGCACAAAACAATGTCATTGTCACATTTACCTGACAAACTAATGCCTTTGTATCTCCTTGTCTATCTGAAGGGAAGGGCTTGTGTGGCCAAATCATCAGTATGCTTGGTAGACAGTTTCCTTTGATGGGTGCAGCTAATTTCCATTAATCAGGTGGCAGGAGACTGAATGCTGATCAGTTGTAATGGCCAAATGTCAACCACTGCAGATGCTTTGTTTGTTGATGTGACTTGGTAGGATGGCTTGCATGCATGGGTTGTGATCAACCCAATATATTTCACAGCAAGCAGCACTGGTTTGCATAGACAACCATGATTGTCCACTGCTTTGTTGGTCCCGTCTCAGCTAATATGGCATTTCCCCTCAGGTCACGGGTGTGCAGCGCGTCACCATCCGGCGCTCAAAGAACATCATGTTTGTCATCAACAAGCCGGAGGTGTTTAAGTCGCCAGCTTCCGACACGTACATCGTGTTCGGTGAGGCCAAGATCGAGGACCTGAGTCAGCAGGCGCAGGTGGCGGCGGCCGAGAAGTTCAAGACGCCGGAGGTGAACCCGGCCGCCGAGCCGACCGCCGCCGCCTCCGTGCCCGACGCCATCCAGGAGGAGTCCGATGAAGAAGGCATCGACGAGACGGGCGTTGAAGAGAAGGATGTCGAGCTTGTCATGCAACAAGCCAACGTCACCCGTTCCAAGGCCATCAAGGCACTCAAAAACAATGGGAACGACATAGTCAATGCGATCATGGTAGGTTGCTGAATAGTTACAATTCATTTTCATCATGGTGGGTGACAGTGTGTTTTTCCTTTTGCATTGTATTTGTTGGGAAGTATCTCCAAGTAGGCTACTTAATTTACAGGCCATCTTCCTCACTATTTGCCAGAAGATAGTGTGCAGGGAGCATTTTTGGTAGTCTATAAGGATGGACCATTTTCCTGAGGAGTGGTACTATACAAGCCTATGAGTTGTCCATACAAGCCATACAGTATCATACAAGCCAGGCTATCACCAGGCTTGTGCCTATGTTGGTCATTTATAGCTCAAAAACTATGTGTGATGTACTGAAAGCCTTGCAAGTAGTCCATGTGCAAAAACTGATATGCAAGTGCAGCTGATGGTAGTCTGTTTTTGCAAAGGCTTTCATTGTCTGCTTTGAATGCATATTATTAGCCCCACCTGCTCCAGCACAGTTGCTGTGTTGTCACAGCCGCACTATAGGTTGAGATAGGTTGTGGCTGAAAATTCACTATATCTGTTTTTTTCAGGAATTGACGATGTAGCACCAGCGGTGGATCGCCGGCATTCCTGGTCTCTGAAGCAGTGCTTGATCATTATATGATACTGTGGTTTGTCTCTTTGCTGTTCATTAACCTCTGGTATCACAATGCCTGTATCTTGCAAGTCATTTACTGGATGGCATCTGGGTGCACCTGGAGGTCCCAGCCTATCAGAAGAAGTGCGTTCTGTTGAAGCTGGCACTCTAAGTGGCGGTGACAACATCCGATCTGCAGAAGCTGGTTACAGTCGAGTTGCTTTGTCATTCATCGAGCAAGCTTCTGTCGTTTTTTTGTGATCTGAAATGGCGAGACATTGCTGGCGATCCCACCACTCTTGGCGACGTCATCCCTCCCCGCTCTGGCTGCTGGAGCGTTTTGTATGGTTTGTCTCCGAACCTTGACAAACAGTCGTAATACATGTGTTGCAAATATCGGTCGACTTTTGCTTGAGAACGATTGCCTGGGCTATTCCGCTGGCGGAAGCCATTGAAGACAGCTGATGATATGTCGGTCGGCTCGTCCTCTTCGTTGCCCCTGGTGGGGCTTCAACGCCACTGCTGGGCATCAGGGCAGTTGGGGGAGAAGGAATGTGCCTGAATACCGGTATCCAGACGACATGAAAGGACCGCATGCCATAATTGGACCATGAGCGTGTCCGTGTGTTAACGGCTTTCTGTCGATGTTCTGGCACGCCCGTAAAATTGCGGTTGCATTTATGTGAGGGTATCGCGGGCTGATGGGTTGCTTTCTGGGATGCAAAGTAACTGCCTACAGCTACGAATAATATTTAATCCACAGCGGCGTGCCAACTAACCGGTCCGTCCACGAGCGGGGTCATAGTTCATCGAGAGAAAGGCTCGGTCGGTTCGTAACTGTCTTCGTCGCTCGAGGACCCTGTTTTTATGTTCTGGGAGAGGACATTTTAGGGGCGTGATAACGTTTTGGTGCCTCAGGGACTCGTTTTCCGAAGTCTTACAGCTGAGGGCATGCCTGGAGCCCATTTAAAGATTCCCGAGAGCCCATCCAGTCCAAATCATACGGGATCCGCTCTTGGGATCCGGGCACATACCTGCCTTCAGTCGCCATAAACTGGCAAAAAGTATACGAGGCGCCAACTGCGGGGGAGGGGGCGCCATTACGGCGGGGAGATTGCACCCTAAATCCCTCCCTTTTTAAATCCCCCCTGCACCCTAGCTCCTCCACTTTTTACACGTTTGTTGTTGTGGGTGTGGTTACCCAGCGCGTTCATCGTGGAAGTTAAGACGTAAAAGGGAAAAAGGGAAACGTTATGCTGCAATATACGGCAAGTAAGGAGGAATCCGTAAAAGGAAAAGTTGTCTCGGAAAGGCGGGAGGTCTTTAGCTAGCGACGTCACCAGTGCGGGTCATAGAACCATCTCATGCGTGGCCCCCTGACGGTGGTCATGATCATATTCGGTATGCCTCCGGACCACGAAATGCTCAGTTAGGATCCAAGTGCTCACCCACACCATTTCAGGTCCACGATCGTCAGATCCTGTTCGCGCCCCTGCCTTGGACTGTTACAATGATGCCAACAATTTGGTTTCTGAACGCGCATCGCAGTGTTCAATGTTCGTTTAAATGGACAAACTTTTCAAACGCAGTGACTGGAAAACACGCGATGCCTGATCATTAAATAATTTATTGTGCTCAATGTCATTTAGCACCCCTATGCACAGCTCTAACCTAAATAGTGGACGGACGTGTCTCAGCAAAGGCATGACGCGCTCACGTTAGTTAGTTTTTGAACAGAGTTCCGGAACACTTTTCTAAGCTATCGTTGCCTATGATCTTGTAAATTTCTGTTTTTCACACCATTAATCTTTATTCATTTCTCATTTCAATTAACTTTCGACAAAATTTGTTCCATTTTAGAAGATATTTATGAAAAACTAACATGCGCGTTAACACGACCCGAGCGCTCTTTTAATATTTACTTCCATTTTGATGTCTGTTGCCGTGTCGGAAGCAACAACATTGCTTGTCCGCCATGTTGCACTTTTTGTGGGTGGCGCGGTTGCATGGTGCTGTTTTTTTGTAGCGGATAAAAACTGTGTCACACTTTGTGTGGACCGCCTAGAAGTGGCTAGCACGCGCCGAGAAGAATGCTGTGCCCATGTGCGGGGATTGGTGCTATTTGCTGTCGTTTTGTACTGTAGGACGATCATGTGCTCCTTCTGGTAGGGTTTTGTGATTCCATGAGATAGCCATTTAAATGGCCTGGACATGAAGCCTCAAGTCGTTGTGCAAGTGTGTGAACTTTTGAATGATTATGTTCAAAGTAGCAGCCACTTTTTTAGTGAAGATAGCTAAGGAATCAAGGTTTTACAATCTCTTTGAAGTGGTTTTTATGTACAACCCATGATCATAGAATGAAATTTCCATGGAACAACATGAATATTCTGCACCAGCATTACTCTTTGGTAATGCTGCTAATGTATCTCAACCTTGGTGAGTGCACATGACAGTTACCAAAGCTGCTGTCTTGTCTGATGAAGTTGAATAGATCTTTGTATGTATACATTTTTGTGTATCACAATTGGTTGTTATTTTTCATGTACTTTTATTTATTCATTGAATTAATTGCATGATATTTATGTTGAAATGTTTTATCACCAACACCATTGCTCTCTGCTAATGTTACCCAATTGCAACCAAACCCCAGCCTAGTCATGTGAGTGTTGTGAATTAAAGCCCATTCAAGACTTTTCTGGCATTAAGACTTGGACAAAGTTTATTCATATAGCTGGATGACACAACTTTATTGGCAGGTTTAGGATGCATGTGATGTGTTTTATGAACATGGTGCAGACTCAGTTTTTGATAACCAAGCAACAAGTTCTCAGCATCAACAATGCAATGCTGAGCAAAAATATAGTTTGCATTGCCATTTGTTTTAATGCATTTGTGCTGAACTAATTATATTCATTTGCTTGTGTTATATTCACTTTTCAGAAGTGAAATGGTAGGCAAAAATGTACTTTGCATTCTTGCCCATCATTTATCATGTGGAATTCACACTTTTTCAATTACATTTTGATCAGGATTATACATATATCTTTTATGTATCACTTTTTATTTTAATATGCCATTTCATTATTCATCTGATGTGATATTGCTTGCATCATCAGAGTTTGCACTCACACAGTGTGGTGTATAGTGTACAGGGTGGGACAGTGCCCTGCATCAGCCTTCCATGCCTCTTGGATATTGGGTATTGCCGTATTGTTTCTTTTTTGCAAGTAACCAAGGAGTAATATTGTGTTTGAGGTAAAAATTATCACACAGCCATGGGTTGTAAGTATGGGAGCTTGGATCCTATTCTGAATACTTTTTGTTTGAACAAATTTCTTGTGTGCATTTTGGAGTATGCCACTGCATCATTTGAGATGGATACCAGCAAAACAAACCAGTGTGACACCTTAAGAGCTTAGGATAAGTAAAGTGACACCATCTGTGAAAGAACTCTGACATAAATGATGCTAAAACCAAGGTAAAGATGACCAGCCACCTTTGGAAACTGATATGAGTGGGTGCTATCAGCACATTTGACTGTCTTTGTTTGAGTTTGATGGAAAAGAAGCACATGCGTGCTTAGTGTTTGCATGCAAATTCAAATGGCTATGATAATTGACTGGGTATTAGATAAAATAGCCAGTACAATGGGCCACATGGGCAATCAAAATAGGCTTGTAAAGATGCAGTCTTGTGTGGTGTCAGATTAGTGTGGCCTTCTTGATTGGGACTTTTCCAGAATTTGTGCATGTACACCAAAATATGTTTTAGGAGCTACTAGGAGCATGTAATTTTATTTTGTACATGTGGTGTAAAACAAAATTTGTTTCTATGAAACTTGCTCTGTCTTCATAATGAAATTCAACTTACTGGAAGATCAGTTGAGTCAGATATATGAGCACTCAAATGAGCACCTGTTTCCACAAATTATAAGCATCCTCTTCTCTGAGCTTTCTTGCTGTGCCACAATTGTTCTGCATCCTTAAAGGGGTGGGACCCATCAGAAAAGTTTATGTTCTTTCCTGTGGTGGGAAATAAGTTATTGTTCTCAGATTATCTTAAATAAGGGATGGGAGGAATCTAGTCTAAGGCAATTCTTTCAGCTAGATTATTTTTAGATTAAATTTAGATAAGAATGGTGTGATTTGGTTTATGCAGTTGTAGTCAAACACTATTGATGTATCATTCCTATGACTGGGAATGAATCAAAGCAATAGGCAATAAGTGAAGCACAGTGTGCCAATGTACTTTGCAGTATGCTGGTTTGTTCATGACTATTGCATAGCAATATTATGGCTGAGCAATTTTACTGGCTGCATGAGCTGTTTGTTCACAATTGAACCAGCCAACACACATTTTCGGTATTAGTGTGCGGAGAATGCTGGCACCTTTGTAGAAGTGCCGCATAGCATATTGAACCATGGTGTGAACAGCAGCCAGCATTGATATGCTAATCTTGCCAACAATGTGACTGTTGCTTCAGAAATCTGACTGAAATCCTGTATTGCTCTTAAGTCAAAATGTCTGAATGTCTCCATGAAGCCTTTCATACCTCAGATGGCTTGTATGCCTTGTTTCATTTCCTAATGTGAACATTTTTAGTTGGTGAAGATGTGGTATCATCATGGCAAAGTCATATACTTAACAGGCCCTCCAAGTGCTCTTAATGCATCTTATGACTGGTCAAATCAAATGTGTCACCACTGAACTTAATACAGCAGAACACAGCACAGGGATGCAGGAGTTATTTAGCTCCTAGAATAGCATTTAGCATAAATGCAGGAATCATTTAATGCAATCCATTATGCTAAGATCCATGAGTCATGCAATAAGGTGACCCTGTGCCTGGCTGCCAACCACAGCATGTGCAGCTCAGTCATTGGCTGTAGCGCAGTGCAGGATGTGGGTATCACTGTCTGTGGCCGTTTCAGCCCTGGGACACGGGCAGGACATGGTGACGTCGGCGACACGCTGGTGCCACTTCTACAACGAGTCTGTGTGCCCGTACGGCGCCGACGACTGCCACCTGCGCAAGGCGTGTCTGGAGGACGCGCCGCCGGACCTGGGCGACCAGAGCTCGCGCCGCCACATGTGCTTTGTTGCGTGGACAAACTCCACCACAGAGCCCATCAGGGTCCTGCTGAAGGTGAGCAGGGTGAGGTGGGTGGCTGGTGGCTGGTGTTGCATGTTCACAACCCCACTGTTTCCCCCAAGTATGTGGATAACCTTGTGTGTCAGCACTGCAAAGTGGTATCTGTCTGTATTTACAGATATTGTACCCGCCCTCACCATAATTACTTCTTCCTGAGCTTCACTGTAATAAGATGCAGAGATAATGCAAGCATTTTTATGGGCTTGAATATTGTCACTCAGGGGCACCATTTTCATGTGATTCACTCAGCTAATTTAAGCAGAAAAATGGAATGTGCAAGCTCTCATTTGTTCTGTTTGTTCTCATAGCATGTAATATAGGATTTATAATACAACAGTGTGGTGCATAGTATTTAGGCATAAAACAGGATGCATGATCATGTGTGGTGAAAATTTCCTGTGCCATGGATTTCTGGAGGGGGTATCGACCTTTGGGCCATGGTATTGGCATCGGACGTTGGCTCAGTGAGCTGTACAGCTGCTGTGCCGCCCCATGCCTCAAACTGGGTCGAGGCACAGGGCAGAGGAGCATCAACTGCAGTGTAGCAGGAGCTGGAGCTGTGCAGGCAGTGCTGTGCTCCAATGCTCCCCATTACTCTGCAGGGCTGCATGTTGGACGTGGAGCAGTGCCACAACCAGACCGAGTGCGTGGCCACACAGCAGCCCAACAGAGGCGCATACTTCTGCTGCTGTGAAGCCGACTATTGCAACAAGGACTTTCGGTGGAATGGCCAACTTGCCAAGGCCACCACCCCAACTCCATACACCAAACGTGAGTGGCATTGGCGTCCAGCAGATCGTCAGCGGCTGATGTATGGACAGGTTGTCTCACGAACAAGGTTGTCCAAAAGGTGGGAAAAGTAGATCAGGTAATAATGTATATAGCCAGTAACTGCTCAAGTTTACTAAAATCTATCTTAACCTAATGCTACTTATGTTAAGCTTAAACTGCTTGAAGCTTACTCAGTTGATTTGGCTGATTCAGCTTGTTGTCTGGCCTTTTCTTCCTGTCATTATTATGATAAATAAATGCTTTAGTATTGTTTGACCTTTCTCATTGAAATCCTGTAGTGTGACATCCTGAACCTAATCCTGTTTGCTACATTTGTGTGAATTTGTGACACCCTATTTCAGCAATTTTCCCACATAAGTGCTGACCCCTGGCAATGGCTCCTCCTTCCCTGCATTGGCCATGCATGTGTTGCCTGGGACAATGCTCTTACTGATGCTCCTGTACAGAGGTATGCTCCATTGTGCGGCCGTGAGCTCCATTGTGCCAGCTCTGTTGACACGGCGGCGGCAGGGTCAAGGTCGCCTCGGCCGGCGCTGGTCGGCGTGTTTTGACACCGGGGTGGCTCGCTGTGGCCCGTCAGTCGGCCTGCCGTGTGCAAACCTGACGCTGGCGTGCGCCGTATTTCAGCCACGGTGGACCAGAGCTCGGAGACGGCACTCATCACGGTGGTGACGCTGGCGCCGATCGTGTTCGTCACCGTGTGCGTCCTCGTCGGCTTCTTCGTGTACCGCCGGCGCAAGCCCAGCTCCTTCAACGAAGTACGGACGCGCCGCGCCGCTGGCCGGGCCGCGGGGCCGGGGAGCTCGCGGCCATCGGGCCGCGGGGTCGGGGAGCTCACGGCCGTCGGGCCGCAGTTGAACGGCCGGTGTGGCGGCGGCGGTGGATCTGTCGGCCACCGACGTTCGTCACCATAGCCTTTTTCGGGGACAGCGGTTTGTAGTTACGTTAGTGTGTCGCCGACTGTACATGCCCCTGTCCATGATCATGGTGGAGGTAAATCGACTGCCACTGGCGAGGTCTGCTATCACGTGGTCGCCTGTCGGAGGTCTCGGCATGCATGGGAACGCACCGCTGCAGCCGTCAGCGTCGAGCAGCGCAGCGCCGGTGCGTGCGGTGACCGGCTGGTTGGCGCGCCGGGTTCTCGCCACATGACCCGCTCGCTCGTCAGATTCCGTCGCTGGACTCCGGCCTGGCGTGTCCGCCGTCGCCGCCGCCGCTGAGCCGGCCGGTGCAGCTGCTGGAGATCGTGGCGCGCGGCCGCTTCATGGCCATCTGGCGCGGCCAGATGGGCTCCGAGCCCTTCGCCGTCAAGATCTTCCCCGGCCACGAGCGGCGCAGCTGGCAGGTGGAGCGCGAGGTGCTCGAGCTGCCGCAGATGAATCACGACAACCTGATCAGGTCGGTGGCCGCTCGGTCGGGACGGTGTGGGTTAACAGACGGCCTGGCCAGGGCGGTCGGCACTGGCACAGTGCTGGATGGGTGGAGGTCAGCGTGGTGGGGCGACGGGCATGTGTGGTTTGTTGCGCCCGCTGCCCGAGAAGCCCATCCACTTGGCGGGAGGCAGCAGCAGAGAGTAGCGTCTAACACTTGAGCTCTGATTACTGGCTAGGACAACCGGGCTCGTCACGCTGCATTGCAGGTGCGGGAAGCAGGCCCATTCTTGCTTGTATGTGTAGAGTCGGTTGTGTCGTTGCCCCGCGTGCTCTGCATCTTCGCAGCCAGCTAACTTCATCCCCCTCCCCATCCGACCACCAGATTCATCGGAGTGGAGAAGCACACGGACTTGGCCCAGGTGGAGTACTGGATCCTGTCCGAGTACTGCGACAACGGCTCGCTCTGCGACTACCTCAAGGGCCACTTGGTCAGCTGGCCGGAGGCACTGCGCGTGGCCGAGGGGGTGGCGCGCGGCCTGGCGCACCTGCACGAGGAGCTGCCGGCAGGCCGCGCCGGCGCCGCCAAGCCGGCCGTGGCGCACCGCGACTTCAAGTCGAAGAACGTGCTGCTGCGCCGCGACCTGACGCCGTGCGTGGCCGACTTCGGACTGGCGCTGATCTTCTATCCGCAGCGACCCATCGGTGACGTACACCCGCAGGTGAGGAGCGGGCGGCCCGGCCGGGCGCGCCGGGGTCAGAGTCAGCTCTGACCAGCCAGCTCTGACCGGCTCTGACCAGCTCTGACCAGCTCTGACCGGCTGCCCTGAGGGGTGGTGGCCACCGAAGGCCGTGCGCGCCGCGTGTGGACTGACCTCTCGCCGTTCGTGTCGACGGCCAATGCTATTTTGATGTTTATTCGCGATGTTGTTGAAAGCTGGCTGTCGAGTGCAGAGGATGCGTATCTGGTACTGAGGCGCCAGTGCGGCAGCGTGGTCTGCAGAAGGCGCCAGTGCGGCAGCGTGGTCTGCAGAAGCGGACCGCCGCCTGCCGCTGCGGCCGGGGCAGGAGCCGGCCTCCGGCTGACCGCGCGCGCGCTTGGGCCGCCAGGTGGGCACGCGCCGCTACATGGCGCCGGAGGTGCTCGAGGGCTCCATCTGCTTCCACCGGGACGCGTTCCTGCGCATCGACATGTACGCGTTCGGTCTGGTGCTGTGGGAGCTGGTGTCGCGGTGTGCGGCCGCGCCCGGGCCCGTGTCCGAGTACCGGCTGCCCTTCGAGGAGGAGGTGGGCGCGCACCCCAGCCTGGACGACATGCAAGAGCAGGTGGCCAACCGGCGCGTGCGGCCGCGCGTGCAGCCGCACTGGCGACTCCATCAGGTCAGTGGGCGGCCGCGGCCGCCGCGCCAGCGCCGCCGAGCCGGCCACGCCGTGCCGATGTTTGACCGGCGCGGAATGCGCCGGCACGTGACCAGTAGCGATGTCGCCGCTTCGAATCGGTTCCGATCCACACGGCGGATTTGGGCCGGTGGTTTGTGGGCGGTGTTTGTAAATTGTCACCGCAGTGTAGCGTTGCGGAATGTCGGCCGGCCCTGCCGTCGGCCAGCACGTGTCGTGTGTCGTGAGATGGACGGCTGGGTGCGTCACATTGCCATGTCAGCAACACCCGTGGCACTTACCGGCGCCAGTGACGTGCCGCGCCGCGCCGCGCCGCGCCACACACGGCCCGCGACGGTGTGATCGGCGCGAGCAGCGGACGTGACGCCGCTACCGCCACACGCGATGTTCCTGGACGGGGCGCGGGCGAGTCGGGGGCGTCGCGGAGGCCAGCGACGAGTATTGCGACGAGTGACGAGTGGTGTTAAATTAAGCCAGTAGGGTGTTCAGCATGTAAATATAAAATTATAGTGCCAGAATCCTGGTTCTGCGGAGGGTCCCCGCACACACTTTGTCGGCGATAATTCGTTGTCCTTTGACCCCGAACGCATGCGTTTAACCTGCCTGGCCCGTTTTTTAATCATGATGTGCTTAGGTGCTGGGTTGGCCGCCGCCCGGTTTGATGCTGATTGGCCGGTTTTGAGCAACTGGAGGGGCAACAGACGGCGAACTCCAAGCTGGGGGTGTAACAGCACGGCTGGATATTGACATCCTTGTCAGCCAAGTGACTGGATACTGAACCGCTGCGCGGCGATGACTCCGCCTCTGGCCGCCAGGGCCTGGAGGTGTTCTGCGAGACGGCCGACGACTGCTGGGACAACGACGCCGAGGCGCGCGTCTCGGCCAGTTGCGTGCTGGAGCGGATGAGCGCGCTGCGGCAGCACCAGGCGGCGGCCGCCGGCCGGCCGGCCAACCGCTCGCCGAGCGTGCCGACGGTGGCGGCGGCGGCCGCCGGCCAGCCGCCACACGCCGAGCCGCTGCTGGCGCCGGCCGGATTCGGCCCTCTGTAGGTCAGTGTCTGGCCCGGTGCCCACCGGCCGCTCCTGGGGTGGTGAGCGACTGCCGGTAACATGCGGCGTGGGACTGATGAGGGGTCCACGGGTATGCTGGGAGGTCCGTCCGTGTTGCGCGCGCGGCGCGTACAGACGATATGGACAGAACCGTGCGCTATTGGAAGTAATCATATGATCGTGTGCGGTATCAGTTTGTTTATTATGCTTGGAAAAATGTGCCTGGTAGCCATCACGGCCGTCATTTCTGCCTACCAGGCGGAGCAACTATGTGTGGTTGTCCGGTGTGTTTATGTGCTGATATACCTTGCATCAGCTGCATATTTACCCCATCACTGTCAAAATGTATGTTTGACGTGGCAGGTGTATATTAGCGGATGAGTACCATGTTTTTGGACGAATCTGAGCATACGATACCAAGGTTGCTCTCATTGCAACATCGTAAGTTTTGGCACATGCAAATATGCATTCGTCTTCAGCAGGTGGGGTAAATATCACGCTGCTGACATCATTCTGTCGGGAGAATGGCCTATCCTAAGTCACGAGTGGTTCACAGCTTACGTAGGAAGTAATCCTGATCGTTCGGAAGTCTCCATTTCTCAGTACTTTAAAGCATCTACCCGCCTTGGTCGACGGCATAAACATCCTGAAGAATGTGGAGCCAAAGGGCATGCCCAGCTTAACATGTGGCACCGAACCCCGTCCGTTGGCCATATTGACAGCGTGTGACTGAGGTGGGCGCTGCAGCCGGCGGTGCGGCAGCGGTCCGCCTCTGTGGCGGCTCGGCGACTGACGCGCGTCCGCCGGCTCTGTTGCAGTGTCGCCACACCGTGTGTGCCACACCTCATTGTACCTGCGCGCTGTACCTGCATGTGTGGCCGACCGCGCCCAGCGGCCGCCCGGCGCCCGGCGTCCGGCCCCAGAGACGGTACAAACCCGCCGCCCGACGGACGCAATCAAAAGGCGGCGCCGCGCCGGGCCGCTCCGGCCGGCCCGCACGTGTCTGTGGCCGCAGCTGGGCGGTGCCGCGCTGCCCGTCGCCGTGTCCGGGGGCGCGCGCGCGCGTGTGTGCCGCGCGCCGCCTGCCGCTCCGACTGCCCGCCGCTCTCGCTGTCTGCGTGGCCGCTCGCTGTGTCTGCGGCGGCCGCCGTCGCCGCCGCCGCCGCTCGCCTGTAGTCGTGTCGGTGTTCTCCGGAGGCGGGGCTGCGCCCGGCGTCGGGTCGGGCCGGGCCGTGCGTGCGCGCGCGCGCGCCTGCCTGCACTGTGTGCCTGCTGACGGGTACCTCGGTGGTCAGCGCCAGGGCTAACTCGCATTACCTCACCGTGCCGGTAGATTCGTTTTTATTGTAGCGGGGTCTCTGACAACAACGCCAACGGCCGCCGTCTGCGCTGCCTCAGTTGCTCAATTCTGTCCGCTCCTCCTACGGTGAGCGCGGTCCGCTCCTGGCCGCCAGCCCAGCCGAGCCGAGCCGCAGTTTTTAGACGTGGCTCAGCGTGCGTGGCAGCGGCCGCCGCCCGGTCCACCTGTCGGCCGCTATTGTACCGTGTCGCGAGCGAGCGTGGTTGCGCGCCTGTTATGGGTTCACTGTTGGTACAATCTTATGTTCCTAGACGGGGTGGGCGCTCGCCGCCAGGCGTCGGGTCCCCCCTAATTCCGCCCTCTAATGCCATCTGCCAACCGTAGTGGACGTCGCCAGCGTTTAGTTTGTCTCATTCCTTCCCTGTCTGTTACCATGTAGTACAAAGCGTCTTGTACATATAGAGGTAGCCTGTGGGCCCGGCTGGTTTTATTATGCGCATGCGAGTAGTAGCGGCGGGGGCGGCCGCGACCGGCCGGGTCCGTGCTCCGAGTGCGAGCCGACCCGCCGCCGGTGCCGCCCCTGGGCTAGTTATCCAGTCTCTGCTAACATGGTGTAACAGTTTTACCAGCTAATATCGTGCAGAATAAAACATCGCTGGAGGGCTCGTGCGTTTGCGCTCGTCTTGGGCGGTGCCCACGGAGAGGGGCGCCCTCTGCACCGGCCGGCAGGAGTCGCCCCGGAACGGTCCTGCTCTCACCGAACAGGACTGGCCATGTTCGCGACGGCCGCCCAGTGAAAGGACCACATCTCAGTTCGGAGCCGTTAAAGACCGCTATCACGAGGATTTACGGTGAGGGGCGCAAACACCTGCTCGATAGCACTGCACAGCGTGTTCATGAGAGCAGGCCTGGTGGTTCTAAGTGCTGAGTTGTCTTCGAAGTTAATTGGCTCTCGTCTTCTATTTTTCTTATTTTTTAATATATTTTCGTCGTATTTTTTATGCACGGTGTATACGGGACGGAACGAGTCAATGCGCCTGCCGTTCCTCGACTATTTGCTTGTGTTCTGAGTTCTGAAGAGAGATTCAGAACTGAAGTTCTGAGTTCTGAAGAGAGTTCTGAAGAAGGCTATATTGTCACAGCCTGGCTGCACGCTTACCGAAGGACATCACACGAAACGTGACGAAGATCTGTGTGCTTCACTCAACAATCGACATTTCACTCATGGACTAACGATCGGGAACCTGGAAAGCTCGCAGTTCAATCCGTAGTGATCGATGCGTCTAACGCAGGACTGGTCGAGACAGCCAGTGGTGGTTGGCGACCGAATGGAGCAGCCTGGGGGGAGATTGACCAAGACGTCGGGGACGACGCGTATGTGGTGCACTCCCTTGGCGGCGTAGCCGTCCAGGTGCCGCGGCAATACCCGGACGGGACGGTTATTGTACGCGCGATCAGCACACATCTTTGTCAGCTCCAGCGTTCGCTTGTATTCAGAAGCAGTTACGGGACAGAAATTGCAGCTGTACAATGTCCTGTCCGGGTAAACAGCGCATGGGTTCTCAAAGCTCTTGTCGTAGTTCCACAGGACCTGCTTGGGCGGTAACGTTCCGCGATCGGTGGCAAATTGTTGTGCGCAGACATTGGCTCTGTGTTCTACGTTCCACGGCGCGCGGTCAGCGCGGAAGGCGGGTTTCGTCCGCTCCATGGAGCCATGTTGCAGGTGACGATCGAAAGCGAGGTCATACGTGGTTACGAAGGGATTCACCTGGAAAGGGTTTATTTCCAGGATGTTACCACACACGCTGACTTGTGACTGCTTCACGTCGTATGACGGCTTGTCTCGCTTCCCAAGGAATGAGTCGTACTCCGGCATTCGGAAGTGCTGTCGATACGTAGTATCATGTTTGAAGCATTCCCGTTTGTACTTACATCTTTCCTCGTACCAGTTTCCGATAAGCGTGCATTTGTTGAAACGTCTATCGCAATTGTTCACACGACCCGTGATTTGCTGCTCAACGATGTCAGCGCTGGAATCTAGAATGGTCCTTGAATTTATGACGGTCATTTCCACTTGAATTTAGGAGGGCTGAAGTCAAACTATCGCTTCACCGTCGGTATAAAAACCTACACACTGAAAACAGCCCACGGTAAAAGCATATGCATGAATTTGCGACTGATCGAAGATCCTTTTTATGAAAAACTTGGACGTGGGAGTAAGATAAATCAAGCAGAAAATGCCGCTTGAAGCACGTGACGTCTCCAGACCTCGATATTACCAGACGACAAAACCTGTGGATTTCATTGCAGGATTCGACCATACAAGGAGGGGGAAAAGAAACCAAAAAATTGGTACGGGAAGCCAACCTGCATCATAAGCCGCGTATACACCCGTCGATCAATGCGCAATTTCAAAATAGGCCGGGTCAGAACAGCTTCTATTTGAAGCACATTTTCTTTATTACAAAATCCCAAATACATTCCTCAAGAACTGTCTGTTTAAATATTTACAGAGCCTACCAGTAGCAAAAGAGGATAAAAAGTTCACGATCACATGCATACAGATGCGAGAAACGAAAAAGCTTTCATTACAAATTCTGGCCTAACTACAACGTGTACACCAATCGAACACCAGCAAACATTTACATTAGCTGCGCCTAAGCGCGAACCCGAGTACAAATGTGAGCGGCCTCCGCTCGGTACCGAGGATGATAGAACAGTCTCTACGGAGCAACATCATATATATGTATAGATGTATATGGAATGACAAAAATAGTAAGCTGCGGTGCAGGTACTGATGAATCATGAGATTACCACGCCGTAGGTCAGTCCAGATTCTCCACAAAGCAGGCTCAACAGAAAATTCCAACCATCAAAGCAATGTTCGAAGCTGATCACACATGACGTCAAAGCATACACCAATACAGGCTCTGAAATAAACAGTGCAGGCCAAGGAATGTTCCAACCCCTCGTCCAAAATTCCAATAAATAGCTGTGCATCTGACATGAAAAAATGCCTTACGAACAAAAACATCGCAAATGCTTATAGTTCAAATCACTTGTAAGTACATTTGTCGCATTTGGCTATCCTCCACACGCGAGCGTCTCGTGTTCGCACTCGGCCGCAGGCGGGTCACCGCGCGCGTCGCCCGGGCCCGTCCACCAATCAGCGGTCGCGCGGCGCCGGCCGGGCGTCCACGGACCGGCCGGCGCTCCAGGCCGTTCGCACTGGTCCCAGCCGGCGGCCGGCGCGGCGCCGCAGTCCGGGCCGTGCGTCGGCGCGGCCGGCGGCGGCATCACAGAGGGGCGGCGGCGGCGGCGGCGCGCGGTGCCGACTAGACCCAGGAGTCGCCGGCCGGCGCCGCCTCGTCCCGATAGCCCCAGACGTCGCCGGGCCCCGGCTGCTCGTAGTCGGCGCCGGCGCCGGCCTGCTGGCGCTTCTTGTCGCGGTTCACCTGGGCGTAGACGGGTTCGCCCGGCTGCCGGCCCTGGTAGACGGGGGCAGGACGCCCGGTCAGCGAGCGACGGCGCACGCGCGGCCACCCGGCCCGCCACGGGACACCCGCGCACGCCGGCCAAACGTCAGCGCCACACAGACAGACGCCCTGGCCGAGGCGCACCAGGCCACGGCCAGACTCACACACACACACACGGACGGACGGCACAGGACCGCAGCACGGGCCGAGAAGCCCTGGATCGGGAGAGCGCAGACAGGACGGACGGACCACTCTGGCCGCAGCCGGGCACAGGGCACCACGGCGCACCGGCGGGACCGCGCCGCACAGACACAACGGAGCAAGGGACAACACATGGCACGCACGCACAGCTCCCCTCCCAGCCCATGACTGGAGCGTCCCGCGGGCGGCGGAAGCCTGCAACTCGAGCAGCGTTCGCAGGAATCGGAAAGGACAGTGTCATGTTCGGCTCACAGCAAGTAGCAATACTTCGGGTAAGGAACACACATACGCACACGAACTACTGACTGAAGATAATATGACAAGACTCTGCTGCTGCACTGACCACTGTAAGCACATCTGAGATGATCGCGAACACAGTTACGCTGATCACTACCAAAACGCCGCAAAGCTTGAACCAGCCACCACACCTAGTGCAAACAAGACAAGAGCGGTATGTGACGTAGCAGTGACGTGCGTCTACCAAAAAAGCGTACCGGCATGCCCGTTTTATGCGTACGACTTTGCACATCCAGCCACCTTTCACGTTTGATCCCCCACTGGGAATAACCAAATGCCACGTGAAAGTGGGGACATCACCCGCTTTACGCGAAGCCGGACGGAGAAGAACACGACAATTTGCCTTCCACATCGCTTACGACACGCCCGCGCCGTGCACCCAAAGCGGCCATTCCGAGCACAACACTGATTTTGTAGCCGAGATTGAGCACGGGCACCGACCGGGCGCGCGGAGCACCAGCCGCCAGCACCTACCGCTGTGGAGTTATTGAGCATCGCGGTGCTGCCGTGGGGAGCAGAAACAGGGGCGAGACGCAGCGTTAGTACGACAGACGGCGCCAGCAGACCCCGAGGTCGAGACCAGCCCCGCCCCAATTTGGAACACCAGGAACGCGCAACCCACCAGCAGAAACTCGCGGGCTCACTCGAATCAAGACCCTTGCTAATGTCATCAAGCCATAAAAAGCATATCCAGCAGACCAAAAAAGGGAAGAAAATCAGAAGAACGTGCCTAAACGGCGATGACGTGGGAAATGCGCTTCTTACTTCTGGTAAATGAGAGCAGTGAAACTATTAGCAGAAAACGGCAGGAAATTAAAAAAGCGAGGCCCCGCGCCATAAGACAGCTAGGAAGCATCCGGGTTACTAAGCACACATCCCAGACAGAGTCATGGTCATGAAAGGGAACATCGACAATGTTATGCCCAGAACTGACTAGCCGTCCCCGCAGACATGGACACACCATCAAACGCAATCCTATCCCGCGCGCAAACCCACAGACCAGCATCCGCCGCCACCGGCTCACATGTCACCGGGCCAAAGTCCATAGACCGCACCACACCGCCCGAGGTGGACGTCCTCCCTCGGTCCACGCCGACCCCGGGAGGGACCCACGCCGACCCCGCCCATCCAACCGCCCGCCGGTTGGCCCGCCCAGCCCACCGCACGGCTGCCGGTCCACTGCCTCAGCGATCTCCAGGGTCAGACAAGGCCAGGGCAATGAGAAACGCCGCCCTTGGATGGACATTCCAACTAATGAATAACCTTACATCACACCGAAGCCCATTTTACAACTGTCGATGCACTTCTGTGGTCAAAGCACCACAGTTCCCTGCAGCATCAAACAGCACCCGACCACACCGAAGTTTCTGCCCCTGCTCGCCCACCCGCCGTGCCGCCCCCACCGCCACCGCCGCCGCCGCGTCAGAGCCGTACCGGGACCGGAGGGTACATGCGGACGCCGCCGGGCGGCGGCGCGCGCCGCTCGTAGCCGGGCAGGTCTCCGAGCGCGATCTGCTCGGCGTCGGCGGCGACGGGCGCGCGGCGGCCGTAGGTGCCGTTGCCGCCGGCGGCCGAGGCGCCGCGCGGCATGGTGCGGTCCTCGTACTTGGTGCCGCCCTGACTGGCCATCGGCCGGTTCAGCGTGCTGTTCGTGTTGCTCGGCGAGTTGGGGTTGGTGTTCCTGCAGGCGCACGCACGGGCGGCGGGTCAGGCGGAGGGCCAGCCGGCTGACACCGCGTGCAGAGGCCTCACGCACACGCGTGGCCGCGGTCCAGCTCGCGAGGCCGATACGGTCGGGCATCCGCTGCTGGCCTCAAGGCGCCATAAGATTATCGGGCGCCCATTGCAAAATATAGCACAATTTTACCGCACTTCTAGCAAACTACATCTCAATACTCTTTACACGAGACCGGAAGAGTCAGGACCCAAGGGCACAGCAGGATGATTAAAAACACATTTCGAGTAACAGTGTCACCCCACAGGTCAGGCTGCGTCAGCAGTCTATTAGCAGACTTCCCAGAACATCTTGTTCATGCCTGAAATCCTTTCAAGTGTGCTAACTTCGCAGCAGCGTCCCTCAATAGCTTATCGAGAGGACCACTTTGAGAACACCGGAGGACCAATGGGCCAGGGCCACACTGCACCCTTAACTCCACTATCCGCACGTTTACTTCACAGACGGCACCCCAGACGACAGACAACAGACGACCGGCTTACCGGCGCACCAAGTACACATTCTACAGATATCCAGTGCCGTGTAACCAACTTTGCTGTAAAGTGCAAGGCACTGTCTACGGCAGCGGCCGAGAGCGTGATCCCTGACCGGGCGACGGCAGATAGCCGAGGGCTCCACAGACGAGCCGTCCGCGCAACGGCCGAGAGCGTGATCCCTGACCGAGCGGCGGCAGATAGTTGAGGGCTCCACAGATGAGCCGTCCGCGCAGCGGCCGAGAGCGTGATCCCTGACCGGGCGACGGCAGATAGCCGAAGGCTCCACAGACGAGCCGTCCGCGCAGCGGCCGAGGCGTGATCCCTGACCGAGCGACGGCAGATAGCCGAAGGCTCCACAGACGAGCCGTCCGCGCAGCGGCCGAGAGCGTGATCCCTGACCGGGTGACGGCAGATAGCCGAGGGCTCCACAGACGAGCCGTCCGCGCAGCGCCGGGGTGCTCGGCACTGGCCGGCGCGGGCCGGACGCGCCGCCAGCTCCCCGCCGGCGCCGACACACCCACCTGGCCGCCACCGACTTGGTGACGAAGTCGGCCTCCCTGAAGTTGGCCTTCTTGTAGACGTCGCGCAGCTCCTGATGCGACCACATGGAGAAGAGCACCTGGCCGGCGAACTTGATGACCCGCAGGCTGTAGCGGTGCCGGTGGCGCGTGATCATCAGCAGTCGCTTCACGCCCTCCAGCTCGAACAGCGACCTGCGGCGACGGCAGTCCGGCGGCGTCAGAGGCGGGCGACAGAGGCCGACGGGCGCGCGCCTCGCCGACCGGTCAGCGTCGGGCGGCCACGCTTACCCCGCCGCACACCGGGAGCGGAGCGCCGCCCAGGCTCCGCGCCTGATGGCCAGCAGCACGGCCCGGCGATCGGCCGATGCAGGGGAGTCGCGGCGCGCCGCACCGGACCACGGCGCCGCGTGACATAGAGGGGACTGCACAGTGATCAACGCGTTCAGGGACTCGCTGAGGAGGGGAGTCAGCGCGCGAGCTCATTCCTCCGCCTGGCGCCGCAGAGGTCAACAGCCGGGTCACCGGGCGGCTGAATGATGATGGGGCTTTGCGGGACGCCAGCCACCGAGATCACTGCGCGCCCAAACGATACGACCTCCCGGACTGACTGATTATTGGGGCTTTAGGAGCTCACGGGGAATGACGACAAACGAGGACCCGAACACCGCCGTCCACAGATCAAAAATGCAAAATCACGCAGCAGGGACTGGGCCAGAGAGCGCGCCCAGCCGCCCCGTGGCGCGGCGCCTGTTGGAGAGCAGACTACACTCTCCCTCGGCGGTCCGGGTCTGACGTCACGCGTGACGCCACTGTCGCCGCGCGCCCGAAACGACCCGCTCTGCGAAGACGACGCCCAGTCGACGTCAATTGCCGCTCATCTCCCGGCACGTTTTACTCCCAGTGGACCGGCATCACATGATGCTGTGCTATTACTCCTGTTCGAGACGGCGCCTGCACGACCAGCCCGCCTCCAGCACCGTCCCACCAGCGAACAGCAGCCGTGATCGTGATCATTACTCCTACCTCCTGACTCTTATGCAGCTCTGGTTCACTCAGTAGGGAGCATTCCGTCCTTAACGCGCGATGAACAGTGGGTTAAATCCAACTCCGGGGTATTTTCTGACAATGAGCTGTACCTTCACTCCCAAATGCAAAAAAGATATTGGGTTGCTGACTGCAAGCGAGAGCAAAAGGACGTCGGTGCAGGCTGGCCGGCGTCGGTGCAGCCACGCCGGCGGCGTCATCATCAGCAGCCTCCCCTGCCTCGAGAAGACACGCTGACGTTGGCACACGCACGAGCGGCCGCTGCCATGACAACCGGCCGGCGTGATCGGTAAAGATAAGACGGCCGACGATTGGTGGAGGTTCAATTTTGCAGCCAGTCAATCAGCGCCGTCACCGAGGCGGCTCTAGATCGCGTCTGGTGTGAACTGATCCATACCGCGCCGCCGTAATTCGACACCAGTCGGCTTCAGCGGGCTGTGATTGGTCCAGGTCGCGCCGCCGACGCTGCGTCACGACATCACCAGCGGACCGAGCAGCGGCGGCGGCGGCGGCGGCGACGGTCCGGAGCCGAGGTAGGGTGTGGCATCAGACACCGGGGAAGGTGTCGCACGACTGGGGCTGCCCACTCTCGGCCCCGTCACCTCCGAAGCATGACACCACGCTCGTGACGTGCGTGAGTCCGCCAGGGATCGGAACGTCAGCTGGCCGAGCGCCATCCAGTTCACCAGGCATAAGTGTCTGTTTCGTGCTACCGTGGCCTGTCGCTGGCAACATGTAGTTCTTATCACGGTGGCTAAGCCTGCTGCTGCCAAGAGCAACTGGCACTTAACCATCGCCTTGGACCGCAGTCACACTGGCACTGGATCGAGGGTCCACTGGACAAGGCGGCAGTTCTGCGGAAGTCCGCTGGCACCGGCCCAGCCACTCCACACGGCGGCCCGGTGTGGCCCAGTCCGACTCCCCAGGTGGCACTGCGGTCATGATTGCGGCACAGCCCGGCGCCAGCCCAGCTCCGGCCGCGGCTGGCGGGAGCTGGCCCCCCGCCGATGACGCCCAAGCTCCTGGCACGGGTCGCCCCACTGAGGCCGGATACTTCCCCCGGCGCCCGGCCGGCGCGGCGGCCGGCTGAACACGGACGGTGTCGAGCCGCGGCGACACCGACACAGCGCCGCCCACCACCACTGACCCACGTCCGAGCTCCTGGCACGCGCCGCCCCACTGAGGTCGGATACTTCCCCCGGCGCCCGGCTGAACACGGACAGTGTCGAGCCGCGGCGACGACACAGCGCCGCCCACCACCACTGACCCACGTCCGAGCTCCTGGCACGCGCCGCCCCACTGAGGCCGGATACTTCCCCCGGCGCCCGGCTGAACACGGACAGTGTCGAGCCGCGGCGACGACACAGCGCCGCCCACCACCACTGACCCACGTCCGAGCTCCTGGCACGCGCCGCCCCACTGAGGCCGGATACTTCCCCCGGCGCCCGGCTGAACACGGACAGTGTCGAGCCGCGGCGACGACACAGCGCCGCCCACCACCACTGACCCACGTCCGAGCTCCTGGCACGCGTCGCCCCACTGAGGCCGGATACTTCCGCCGGCGGCCGGCTGAACACGGACAGTGTCGAGCCGCGGCGACGACACAGCGCCGCCCACCACCACTGACCCACGTCCAGGCCACGGCACCCCCGGGACGTTGCCGCTGCCCGCGCCCCGGGCCGGCCGCCGACCACTCACCGCGAAAACTCGGCGCTGCCCCGGATGACCTCGTTGAGCGTGGCCAGCACGGCGGCGATCGTGTCGTCCGAGGTGGCCTGGTCCTGCGGCTGGCTGCCCGACGGCAGCTTCTGCACCAGGTCGCGCATCGCGTACTTGCCTGCGGGGGGGGGGGGGGGGCGGGACCGTCAGCGGGCGGGCACGAGGCGGCCGGCCGGGCGTCTCCGGCGCGGCTGGCGTGCCGACCAGCCCGGCCAGCGGCGCCACGGGGAGGATGCATCAAGCGGACCGCCACGGGCGCCCATAAACGGCGGTGCGGTGCGGTTCCAGCGGTGCCACCGGGAGGCACTGCCGGGCGGACCGCGACCGAGCGCACACAAACAGCATTCACCAGACATCAGTCCACTAAAGCGTCAGCGACCGAACGGACGCCGGCCCACGCACCCCTTGTTAGTCGTGGACCGCGACAGCGATCAAGGTTCTCGTTGACAAACAGCAGCACACACTGCCAGCTGGTCTGGGCGGCGCGCCGGCGCGGGACGCCTCTCGCGAGCACCGGGAAGTGACGCTGCACTACGTGGCATAGCTGGGGTGTCACGCTGGGCCGCACCAGCCTCGTGAGCCAGCCGACACCACCAACAGCCCCAGGCCGGCACGCCCAGCCTCACACCGCTCAGCTAATACACATGACCCTGGTTTTATCCACTCATGGCCATGGTCACTTTTGTATACACAGCTATAGTGACAAAAACGTCATAGAACACATCGCACGCAAGAACACGCTCACATGCGTACGTGCAACACGTGCAACAAGTGCGAAGTCGCGTGAGCCACCATCCGCCCGAACCCCACTCATCTTCCCGCTCCACCCCGCACGCCTGGCAGCTGCCGACAGCAGCGGCGGCGGCGAGCGGCGCGCTCACCGATGAGCTCCTTGTTGCGCTGATCGATGGCCAGGTTGCGCAGCGCCGTGGCGACGGCGCACACCACCCGGTCGGCCTCCATGCGCAGCAGCTCCACCAGGATGGGCAGGCCCTTCTCCTTGCGGACGGCGGCGCGCACGTCCACGCTCGGCTGCCAGTAGCAGGCCGACAGGTTCTGGATGGCGCCGGCCGCCGCCTCCAGCGTCTCCGGGTTCGAGCAGTCGGACAGCAGGCTCAGGTACGGCTGCACGATCTGCCGGGGCAGGCGCCACACGGTCAAACGGGGGACGGTCAGGCGGGGAACGATCAGACAGGGGACGATCAGACGGGGGACGGGCAGACGGGGGACGGTCAGGCGGGGAACGATCAGACAGGGAACGATCAGACGGGGACGGGCAGACGGGGGACGGTCAGGCGGGGAACGATCAGACAGGGAACGATCAGACGGGGACGGGCAGACGGGGGGACGGTCAGATAGAGGACGGTCAGACAGGGGACGGCCAGATGGGGGACAATCAGACGGGGAACGATCAGACGGGGAACGATCAGACAGGGGACGGCCAGCCGGGGAACGATCAGACAGGGGACGGCCAGCCGGGGAACGATCAGACAGGGGACCATCAGATAGAGGACGGTCAGACAGGGGACGGCCAGATGGGGGACGGTCAGACAGGGGACGGTCAGACAGGGGACGACCAGATGGGGACGGTCAGATGGGGACGGCCAGACGGGGGACGGCCAGACGGGGGGACGATCAGCCAGGAGACGGTCAGACGGGGAACGATCAGACAGGGGACGATCAGACAGGGGACAATCAGACGGGAACGGCCAGACGGGGGATGGTCAGACAGAGGACGGTCAGACGGGGATAGTCAGACGGGACGACCAGACATGCCGAGGCATAGACGGGCGGTCAGAAAGACAGGCTTAGACACCGGGGGTATGCATTGGGAACGGGCAATCCCCGAGATTCAAATGTGACCTCTCCAGCGCAATATCGGAGCAGTCGCACAGCCGGGGGAAATCCTGAGCACACGTTCAGCATGGGGCCTTTACCAACAAAACGGCGCTCACTACCATTACAATGCTACAGGTCAATCCTCATCCGCGAAATTTGTCAAACTGCGCAAACCAACACACCTAAAATCTGGCGAGGTCAATGAGCCATGGGTTCACCATTAATTATTGCGCTACCCACGCGGAATGTTCCCATAACGGGTGTCATGTGCACCGCACTCCAGCAGCATCCGCCGACAAGCTAGCCGCCACTGCCGCCGGCCCGACCCTGACCTGCCTCCCCCCCCGGACTACACACGGCCCTCTCCAGCCCGTTGCCGTCCGGCCCGACCCTGACCTGCCTCCCCCAGACCACACACGGCCCTCTCCAGCCCGCTGCCGTCCGGCCCGACCCTGACCTGCCTCCCCCAGACTACACACGGCCCTCTCCAGCCCGCTGCCGTCCGGCCCGATCCTGACCTGCCTCCCCCAGACTACACACGGCCCTCTCCAGCCCGCTGCCGTCCGGCCCGACCCTGACCTGCCTCCCCCCCCCCAGACCACACACGGCCCTCTCCAGCCCGCTGCCGTCCGGCCCGATCCTGACCTGCCTCCCCCAGACTACACACGGCCCTCTCCAGCCCGCTGCCGTCCGGCCCGACCCTGACCTGCCTCCCCCAGACCACACACGGCCCCCTCCAGCCCGCTGCCGTCCGGCCCGACCCTGACCTGCCTCCCCAGACCACACACGGCCCCCTCCAGCCCGCTGCCGTCGGCCCGACCCTGACCTGCCTCCCCCCCCCCCCCCCCCCAGACCACACACGGCCCCCTCCAGCCCGCTGCCGTCCGGCCCGACCCTGACCTGCCTCCCCCCCCCCCAGACCACACCGGCCCTCTCCAGCCCGCTGCCGTCCGGCCCGACCCTGACCTGCCTCCCCCCCCCCCCAGACCACACACGGCCCTCTCCAGCCCGCTGCCGTCCGGCCCGATCCTGACCTGCCTCCCCCCCCCCCCAGACCACACACGGCCCTCTCCAGCCCGCTGCCGTCCGGCCCGACCCTGACCTGGCTTCCCCCCCCCCCAGACCACACACGGCCCTCTCCAGCCCGCTGCCGTCCGGCCCGACCCTGACCTGCCTCCCCCCCCCCCCCAGACCACACACGGCCCTCTCCAGCCCGCTGCCGTCCGGCCCGATCCTGACCTGCCTCCCCCAGACTACACACGGCCCTCTCCAGCCCGCTGCCGTCCGGCCCGACCCTGACCTGGCTTCCCCCCCCCCCAGACCACACACGGCCCTCTCCAGCCCGCTGCCGTCCGGCCCGACCCTGACCTGCCTCCCCCAGACCACACACGGCCCCCTCCAGCCCGCTGCCGTCCGGCCCGACCCTGACCTGCCTCCTCCAGACCACACACGGCCCCCTCCAGCCCGCTGCCGTCCGGCCCGACCCTGACCTGCCTCCCCCAGACCACACACGGCCCCCTCCAGCCCGCTGTCCGGCCCGATCCTGACCTGCCTCCCCCCCCCCCAGACCACACACGGCCCTCTCCAGCCCGCTGCCGTCCGGCCCGATCCTGACCTGCCTCCCCCCCCCCCACACACGGCCCTCTCCAGCCCGCTGCCGTCCGGCCCGACCCTGACCTGCCTCCTCCAGACCACACACGGCCCCCTCCAGCCCGCTGCCGTCCGGCCCGACCCTGACCTGCCTCCCCCAGACCACACACGGCCCCCTCCAGCCCGCTGCCGTCCGGCCCGACCCTGACCTGCCTCCCCCCCCCCCCCCAGACCACACACGGCCCTCTCCAGCCCGCTGCCGTCCGGCCCGACCCTGACCTGGCTTCCCCCCCCCCCCCCAGACCACACACGGCCCCCTCCAGCCCGCTGCCGTCCGCGGCCCCACTCACGTCCGGCTGCCAGAGGAGCTCCATGCCCTTGACGGGCGCGAGGCGGCGCGCGGCCGCGGCGCCTGGCGCGCCGCCGGCCGGCATCGTGTCCACGCCGCCGGCCGGCCCGTCCCGCCGCTTCTTGCCGCCGAAGCAGCCGGCGTTCTCGCCCGCTGCCGGGGAAGAGCGGGCCGTGAGAGGCGGGCCGACACCACACTGAGGTCAGCCAGGGTCAGCGGCGCCGGCGGGGGTCACACCGGTCACAGACAGCGCCACCGGGTCACCAGGTCACGGCGTGGCCCGGCGACTCTGCGCCTGGTCAGCCGGCGGACAAAGCGCTGCACGGCTGCCGCTCCTGTGGCGTACAATCACAACGCTCGCTGCTCTTGCAAAGCTCACGCATCGACCACCCACCATCCTTAGAGGGTTCTACCCGAAGTGGCTACGGTCGCTGTAACGTCTACATTCGCTCTACTCGTTGTACATGTACATATAACGCGTCTCTAGATGAAAAAGTTCATCGGTATCTTTTCACCGAGGCCTGGTCGAACCAGGGCCGACAACATCGAGTACTAATACAGTTGCGTTCTGCGCTATGTTGCTCCCCATCCACAGCAGCTGAGTGGTCGGTTGCCGAACAATTCCCAACGGCCTGCGGCCAATGCATACGAACGACCGGGCTGGCGCCGCGCCACAGGAGTCCACCGCTCCCGGCCGCGGCAGCACCGGCCATCTCAGTATATCATATCGGGGCACGGCGAAACACTGCCAAACAAACGGCCGCAGACGCACGCGCGGCGCCCACCCGCCCAGTCTGCGGGACGCGCTGTGGCGCGCGCCACAGCCGCGCCGCTGAGAACGGACCCATCCGCCAGCGGTCGCGGCCCGTCCTCATCCTTAACGTCCCGTAACGACGCCATTTGTTGGGCCAACTATCGCCGCTGACAAACTGCGCGTGCTTTACAATTTGCGGAACATCGCGATCCAGAGATCTTAGGGCCGTTTGAGGCCATGATATTCGCAAGGGAGCAATTTCAGCACCAGGTCTTACATGTTATCAGGGATAACTGAATCACACAGCGCACGGCAGGCCAGAGCCAATCGCACCTTACGACCGCATTTCGGCGACTAAATCCACCACTACTCGGCGACCGCCACGCGCCCGAACGGCTCCGTACCGGGGCTTTACCGTACAGCCCTTCAAGAGCCCGTCTGAACGCCAGAGCGGCCTCCACCAGCAGCCAATCAGGAGCGGCCTCCAGCAGCGGGTGTCTCTATACCTTCCCGTGCAGCGCGGCGGTCGGTGCGCGGCACACGAACGCGCAAACGCGCAAACGCACACACACACACACACACTCAGCAGCTGCCGCACTCACGGTCTCTCGTGGCGGCGACGGTGGCGCCGGGCCGATTCTGCGCCGGCATCGCCTGCTTGTCGTAGTTGGGGTCTTCCACCTCCTGGCACCGGTACGACAGGTTGCGCAGGATACACACGCAGTTCTCCACACACTTATTGTCAATGTTGGACTTGCCGATGGCCGAACGGATCACCATGAGCAGCGCGTCCACCAGCCCCTCGCACTCGCGCAGCTTCTTGCGCGCATACTCGCCGGCCGAGCTCACGTTCCTGCGGGCGCGCGCGGCCCGAGCGTCAGCACCGCCGATCGCGGCCAGAGCCGCCGCCGGCCGCCTGATTGCACCGCAGCCCCGCCGGCCGGCACTGAAAGGCTGCCGGCCGGCGCTGGCGGCCGACTCGTTACCAAGTTGGGCACGTGCCGGCGGCCGGTCGGTCGGCCGGTCGGCACGGTGTTCGGCGCACCGACGGCATGCCAAACAGGTCGCGGTCACCGCGCTCGTCACGGGGTCGCCGGGAACCGTCGTTCTGCACGCTGCGCACCTGTGGGACCACCCCCGCCCCCCCCCCCCCCCACCCCACCCCCGTCCTCCGCCACAGGAATCGAACACGCAATCAACAGCGATCCGGGAAACGCCTCGACCGCACGGCCACACGGCCATTGGCCTGCGGTTCTTCGGAATCATAAACACAGCCGCCAGGACCCCAGGGGCCTCTTACCGCGATCCTGTATCGATGAACACCGGTAAAAACACTGTCCGGTGGGATGCCGCCCCATGCAAACAGTCCGGCACCGACGGCCCCCTGGCGGCCTCTGCAGACCCGGGCGCCGGCTCACCTGAGCACGCCGGTGGCGTTGCGGAAGACGGTGGACCAGAAGACGTCCATGACGGGCTCCGAGTGGGCGTTGCCGCGGTTCCAGCCCGAGTGAGGGATGATGACGTAGTTGACGAGCACCGTCAGGCCGTCGTCGATGATGGTCCGCTTCAGATCCTGGCGGGCACGTCCGGGGTCAGATCAGGTCAGGTCCGGTCAAGCATGCCAATGCCAGGCACGGCCTCCCCAGCCTGGTGTGAACGTGACATCGACACGCACAATGATACAGGCGCCTGCTCAACCCACCCGCAAGGACATGTGCGCAAGCACGCCACCGGAGCGGCAGCGACACCTCCGGCAATGACACGAGACACTGACACGGGTCACGCACGAGCACTGACACACAACACCGTCATCAACTCAGGCAGGACACTGCGCCGTTACAAGACCTGAGACCTGATGCCGACACAGGCACGTGAAACTGCCCCCGCCCCTGACATAAAGCAGTCCGTGAAACGGGCGTACCCGTGATGCTGATGCGACGCGCTTCCATCAGTACGGGCTTAGCGAGGCACGACGCGACAGCCGGCACCATACTCGGGAGATTGCCGGAGATAAGCCCCAGATCCCAAAAGGCGCATTACACCTGAATAGCGACGCGAGTGTGCGCTATTTTGAAAGGTCAAGCAAGTTTCTAACGCTCAGAATTTCCCGGGGCTTTTGGACGCGCATGGCTCTGTCTGAGGAACCGACCCCTCTCCCGCCTGTTACCCCCTCAGCAGCTGGGCCCACACACCGCCGGTGCAGGTCTGAGGAGCCGAGCCCTCCCCGTCTGTTACCCCCTCAGCAGCTGGGCCCACACACCGCCGGTGCAGGTCTGAGGGCCGAGCCCTCCCCGCCTGTTACCCCCTCAGCAGCTGGGCCCACACACCGCCGATGCAGGTCTGAGGAGCCGAGCCCTCCCCGCCTGTTACCCCCTCAGCAGCTGGGCTCACACACCGCCGGTGCAGGTCTGAGGGGCCGAGCCCTCCCCGCCTGCCGCCCCGTCACCAGCAGGGCCCACACACCGCCGGTGCAGGTCTGAGGAGCCGACCCCTCCCCGCCTGTTACCCCCTCAGCAGCTGGGCCCACACACCGCCGGTGCAGGTCTTAGGAGCCGAGCCCTCCCCGCCTGTTACCCCCTCAGCAGAGGAGCCCACACACCGCCGGTGCAGGTCTGAGGAGCCGAGCCCTCCCCCGCCTGTTACCCCTCAGCAGCGGGGCCCACACACCGCCGGTGCAGGTCTGAGGCCCGGGCCGGCGCGACATACCGCCGCGCTGGGGAAGGACACCGTCGCGGCGCACGAGACCAACTAATCGGCCGCCAGCAGCCGGGGAGTGGGCGACCACATTATTGACACGCGCGCTGGCCGGAGTCATTAGCGTCACCAAGGTCGGCACGTCGGCCACCGCACCGTGGGACGTGGGATCAAACGCGATGCTGGGGGGTGGCTTTGGCATCGGCCCAGGTCAAAAAATCATCGCCAACTCAGTGGCGGCAGACACCGGTCAGTCACGACTGGTGCTAATCTCTCGCGGTTCTGGAGAGGATGCGACCACACCAAGAGCACAGCCGCCCCTATAAATCTGCCTCTGTTGCAGACGCGAACCCAACAATGCCACACCTCTAGCCCTGTGCACCACGTACGCCCTCCAAGCCGGGACGCGCCCAACCGCGTCTCACCACACTCCACTGCCCGGCGTCCCAGCTGTGCCTGTCTGAGACGCCCACTGCCCGGACGGACAGTGGGTGGTGGGCGGCGTCCCAGCTGCGCCTGCCTGAGACGCCCACTGCCCGGACGGACAGTGGGCGGTGGGCGGCGTCCCAGCTGCGCCTGCCTGAGACGCTCACTGTCCGGACGGACAGTAGGCGGTGGGCGGCGTCCCAGCTGCGCCTGCCTAAGACGCCCACTGCTCGGACGGACAGTGGGCGGTGGCCGGCGTCCGGCCCGACAAGACGCGACGCCCCGACATCGACGCCGGCCGCTCAGGTGCTCCAATCGATGCGGCCGGCGGCGCTCGGCCAGATGAGCCGATCGGCTCGTTTAGTGGCGCCCGGTCGGGCGGACGGCGCCGCCGCCTCCTCCGCGATGGATGGACGCCGGCCGGCGACTATGAGACAGCCGGCGGGCGGCCGCGGGTCGGCCAGAGATCGAACGGCGGCCGGCGGCGGCTCAGCACGCCAGCCGCCGGCCGGAGCGGCCACCGTCGTCGTCGTCGTCGTCATTGGGGCTTTACGACACACCCAGCTGCTGAGGCTATGTGGCGTCGCTGGGCCCGCCTGCCGTCCAGCCTCCCCCTCCCGGCCAGCCTGGAGCCGCCTCTGCACCTGACGACACTCAGCACCGCCGGCGTCCGACAGAGGTCGCCTCCGCGTCACTTCGGCCCACCGGAGCGGCGGGGCGAGAGGGACGCCTCGCCTCGCCGGTGCGCCTCGGCGAGCACGGCCCGCGCCGGCGGGCGACCGGGGCGAGGGGAGGACGGGCGTCACCGCTCCGTCTCTTCCACCCGGTACTCCCACACAGTGGCGGTTTCTGAGCAGCGCGCCGAGCCGCGGACGCCGCCGACCGGCCGTGACCTGAGCAGGCCACAGCGGTGACATTCCTCCCGAGCGGCAGCCAGGAGCCGCCCAGACTCACAACGTCGGCCCCGACCTGTGTGAGGGACCATCCAGCCACCCACGGGAGCGATACGGCCGTCCTCCCCCGGGCCGGGCTGCTCTACCCTGGGAGACGTGGCACTGGTAGCTGGAGGACTGGGAGTGATAACACATGGGAAGGGGGGGGGATGCAGGACTCACGGACGGTTGACGTAGCGCAGCATCCCGCGAAGGACTTAGGGAAGGGAGGGGGGGGGGGGGGCAGCGGCCATGTCCTACTTCATCCGCCAGAGATGTGACGCCCTGGGCAGAGGGCAGAAGTGCTGTCCGGCCTCCATTTTCCTTAACACAACCGAGCTTCGCGGTCGCAAGGGCGGTCTCTTACGAGGCGTTCAGCGCCAAGCGCTTTTCAGCTGCTCCAGTAAAGGCGATATCAAAACGCATCCGAAAGCCAGTAGCCACACTAGCGGCTTTGACGACGCTACCAGCTGTAGCTCGCTGCCGCCGTATTGTCGGGCGCGCTGAAAACGACGGACCGCGACAAAAATAAACGGCATGCCGGGGCCGCCATTACGCGAGATTCGCGCAGTTCCTCGCCTGGCAACAGGGCACATTTCCGAGGACTGCCGGCCAAGTGGTGAAGCTCCGAGGACGACCCAGTGGTGCCGGCCACCCCGGAGACTCCTCACGACGCAGTGAAACAACACCACGCCCGGTCATCTTCCACACGGGTCGCCCGTTCAAACCGGCATGAGAACACAGTGGGATCCTGGTGCGGAATCACCACCGCTGACATTGCAAACGATGGCCACCAATCAAAAACACCAATATTCCCTTGCGGGCACGCGGAGCTTAAAGCTGGTTTCCGAATGGAATTCATTCCATAAGCGGAAGCCGTTAGGAAGTAATTTGGCCATTCATAAAGGAACGATCGCATGATTTAAAGATCGTTAGGCGGGTATCGGGGCTTTCATAAACCACATGGCAAGCGTGCATCCTGAGAACGCCAGCCCGACCGGTGCGAGCTACATGGCAGATCTGAGTAAGCCAGTAACCACATGGTAACTACCGTGTGATTCTCACCGCGACATGAAGCCCCGACAGGGCTGTTCGCGGGCAGCTCCACAGACCCGCCGACCGAACCCAGCCGCCTTGGTGCCGGCAGAGTCCACCTCGGCAGTCCCTCGCCAGCGCCCCTCCCCCCCCCCCTCCGCCGATCAAACCCAGCCGCCGAGTCCACCTCGACAGCTCCTCGCCAGCGGTGACCCCCCCTCCGCCGATCAAGCCCAGCCGCCCTGGTGCCGCCCGAGTTCACCCCGGCAGTCCCTCGCCAGCGGTGACACCCCCTCCGCCGACCGAACCCAGCCGCCCTGGTGCCGGCCGAGCCCACCTCGGCAGGTCCTCTCGCCAGCGGTGGACCCCCCCCCCCTCTCCCTCCGCCGATCAGCCCAGCCGTCCCTGGTGGCCGGCCGAGGTCCCACCTCCGTACAGTCCCTCGCCAAGCCGGTGGACCCACACCCCCCTCCCTCAGCCGGATCAAGCCCAGCCGCCCTGGTGCCGGCCGAGCCCACCTCGGCAGTCCGTCGCCCAGCGGTGACCCCCCACCCCCCCCCTCTCCCTCCGCCGATCAAGCCCAGCCGCCCTGGTGCCGGCCGAGCCCACCTCGACAGTCCCTCGCCAGCGGCGGGCCCGACGGTCGGCTCCTGGCCACTGGGACATCATTTCCGCGTCAGCCCCACAGCACACACACCCGGCCGGCCTGCGGGAGACAGACTGACGAGCCGACGAGACTTGCCGCCGGCCGAGGACGCCACAGCTCCTTAAATCCTCGGGCGCTGTCCACACGCCGTGGTAAGGCTGACTGCCAGCTCGGTGGCCCGTGCCAGTAGACCACACCCAAGACCTAGTCTGCGTGCTTTCATTTCACCTGCAAGTCAAAAGGCGACGCCTGAGACCCCCACTGGCTGTCTCGTGCCGTTATCAGGCGTCTCACCTCGCAGGAGGAGAGGTTCCACAGGATGCCAGTGACCAGCTCCTTGATCTCGTTCTCAGGCGTCTTGCGCAGCAGCCGGATCAGGGCCGGCACGCCGCCCGCGTTCTTGATCGCCCTCTTGTTCTCGTCGTTCTGGCGGCCGTACGACAGGTTCCTGCGACGCACGCGCACCGTCACCAGGCGGCGCAGGACACGGCCGGTTCGCGCTGGCTCGGCGGGCAGCGCCGACCCCCGCGCGGTGACACGACGGGGGCGGCAGCGGCGAAGATCCATCGCGGTGGTGCGGTCAAGCCGGCCAACACACGACTGCGCAGCCCAAACCACGCGCGGCTGGGACACGCGGTCTCGACATCAGCTGCGCCATGAGCACGGCTGGCGCTCATGATTCAGCACGGAGCGAATCACACACGACACTCACCCGCCGCACATATCACGCACGGCTGTCAGCAGCGACACTCAAGCCAGCCAACCGCCGGTCAACACGCGACCACGTGTTGCACCAGCCTACGCCCACCACTCGTCGCCCCGTCTTCCCACCGGCCCTGGCAGCTTGCCGGCCGGCGGGCCCGCGTACCTGAGCGCCCCGCACGCGTTCCGGTGCACCTCCGGGATGTCGTGCGAGAGCAGCACCACCAGCGGCGGGATGCCGCCCAGCGCGCGCGTCTTCTGCTTCATCGGGTCGTCCATGTAGCAGAGGTGCTGCAGGTAGGCCGACGCGTTGGCCTTGACCACGTTGTTCGGGTTGCTCAGGAAGTTGATCACTTCGTGCAGGTCCGGGTCGCGGAAGCGCACTGCGGCAGCCGAGGGACGAGCATCACGGCCCTGTGCCGGCGGCTGCAGGGCGCGCCAGAGCGCGGTCGGGACGGGGTGGACCCGCCCAGCGAGCCCCGGAGGGAACAGGCCGCAGCAGGACCATGCACGTGTCCCCGCAGTCCGGTGTCGAGGCGGCCCCGGGTCGAGCAGTCCCTCCCCCCGTCAAGCTGCTAGCACGGTGCGCCAGCCGAGGCGGTGACGCCGGCTTCAAGCGGTCCAAACATGCGCCATCGCCACCAGCGGGGCATCCAGCGGCGGGAGAGGCCGCGCTGGTCCGTCTCCGCCCGAGCATGCTGCCCGTCTGCTGGCCGCCACTGGCCGGTAGGCAGCCCGAGACTGACCTGACGGCTGGTGGCTGGAGAGGCCGCTCCAGCCGATATCCCCGGCACTGGCCTGGCCGTGGACAGCCTGGGGTGATCCCTCTGACCCGCTGACCCGCCCACCGGTTGCCAATGAGCCGTGATTGGGACGAGAGGTCGGTGACCTCCGGCCGACACTGACCTGTGTTCTCCGGCCGAGCGGCGGAGCGGCTGACCTGCGCCCGGTCGCCTGGCGTACGGCACCCTCTCCGCCCATCACCTGCGCTCTGGTTGAAGTCGAACGGTGGCGCGAAGCAGCGGCAGCCGAAGACGCTGACCTGCGCCCCCTCCTCCCCCGCCCATCCCCCCACACCAACCATCGCTCCGGCCGCCCTGACCCACCCCAGCCCGCCCCCTCCCCGACTGACCTCCGCCCCGCTGCCGGTCAGTCGTCGGCGGCGCGCCACTGACCTGTGTTCTGGCTGAGCGCCGACGGCGGCCGCGCGTGCTGATCGCCCTCCCGCACCACATCACGGATCACCTCGTCGAAGACGGCGCGCGGCGCCGCGCTGCGGCCCGACTGGCGCGACTGGCGCGACAGCGGCCGGCCCGGCTCCGACTCGCCGCTCTGCGACGGCTCTGCGTGCGTGCCCGGCCAGCGGCGTCAGCCGGCGCGGCGTGGCATGCGACGCCGGACCGCCGGCCGCCGCGCGGCCCCCGTGCGCCCGCGGCGGCCGCCGGCCCGGCGGGTGAGTGCGCACTGGCGCGCGCGGCGTGCCCCCATGCCTGGCTAAGTGCGAGCGGCAAAACCGCGGCAGCAACCAAACGGAACAACGGAAACCCGGCACGCTACGGACAGCGGGACACATCAAACGACGCAACTCAACAGCGGGCGGGCTACAACCAAACGGGAGACGGCAGGGTGAGCAGGGTGAGCGCTGAGCAGGCGGTGAGTGGGGTGGGGGTGAGCAGGCGGCCTCTCACCGTGTCCTGGCGGCAGCATGGACGGGCCGTACGGGTCCTGGCCGCGTGACGCCATCAGCGTCGAGTCCAGCTCGTCGTAGCCGGACTGCGGGTAGTGGCCCGCGGGAGGGTAGCCTGCAAGACGCGGGGCGCCGTCAGGGCCTCAGAGGAGCGCGACACGTCAGGGCCTCCGAGGAGCGCAGCACGCCCTCGGGGCCTCCGAGAAGCACGACACGACGTCGGGGCCTCCGAGGAGCGCGGCACGCCCTCGGGGCCTCCGAGGAGCGTGGGAGGTACGGCGCGAAAACAACGCCCCTATCCGGGCAATCAAACCATAAGCGATCTAAAACGTACCGCAGCAGGTGAGCGAAGCGTACCACACAGACATCCCCCGAGAGTCCATGACTTGACATAATACGCCGCAGAATGCGTAACCCCTGTTATTGCTACCACCGCCGCCATCCTCACAGTCACTGCCATCCGCTCTGACTGTCCCGGCTAGGGTCTGTGCCGCAGACGGTTCCAATCGGCCCGTCACCATCAGTCCATCCCCGGCGGCGCAGCCCTCCGGCGCCCTGCCGAGGCCGGGCGGCCCGACAGCGGCGACCCTCCACCAGGCCGGGCGGCTCCAATCGATGCAAGGTCGGCGGCCGTGTCGCGGAGGGGCGCGCACCGCCGGCCGCGGCGGACCGGTGCGCCCCGCCCCACCCGGTCCGGCTACGGCACCTCCGCACGGCACATCTCCGCCGCCGCCGGCACCCGGTCTCGATCGATGCCCAGCTTGTGCGGGCCGCAGATGCGGCCGCTGATGACTGCCCGCGACGCCCGGTTAGGGGCGGCCGCCGCCGGCCGAGTGCGAGCGGCGCTCCTAGGTCGGGCCGCTGCAGCGCCGCTGCCGGGCCCGCTCCGGAGACGGCCGGCCGTCCGGGCACGCTGGCGCCGCGCGGAGTGAGCGCCGCGCCGCTCCGGCGTCCGGCGGCGGCCACACTGCGTCCGCCGCTGGAGGCTGGGGCCACGCGGACTCGCGTCCGGCGGCGGCCACACTGCGTCCGCCGTTGGAGGCTGGGGCCACGCGGACTTGCGTCCGGCGCACCACGGCTGGGACGGCTCGCACTCGACGGCCGCTCTCGGGCAGCCAGGCTTCTTCCAAGCTGCGTCAAACACTAAGCCCGCTGGACAATAGGGTCCATACAAGTTGAGGCCGCTCTAAGCTGGTAGTCAGCCGTGAGTCGCGTTGTCCTCCTCCCAGACTGTCGTCGGGAGACTGCCACCATGAGCCATCCCGCCGCGGCATTAACGCCAACAGCCGCGCAGATAAAATATGGAAATGTCTTAATCGGACGCGCCAACAGGCCGGAATTTTCGCCAGCCGCTGGACTCATCCAATCCGGCGTGAAATTTTAACAAAGGCGCCTGACTTGGCCTGACCGGCCGCACACTCGGCGCGCAATGAATTCTAACTGGCCGGCGCGGCGGGCCTGTTGCCCTGATGGCATCGACCGGCCGTTCGGTCCGACGTCGGGCCAGGTGCGCGATCGTCGGGCGTGGCGATCCGCTCGGCCGCCGGCGCGGTAACGGCTTGCGAGGCGCGCTGCCCACGGCCATTCGGAGTAAGAGCTGCGGTGCTCAGGCTGTGGAATCGGACGGCGCCGATGCGCTGAGCAGGGCCGCACAGCTCTGCCCGTGGACAGGCGCGCTAGGCGACGCGGTCGGACCGCTGAAGGCGGCAGGCAGCTTCACCTACGGCGCCATACCTGCGAATCGTTTGTACGGACGGCGTGGCAGTCAGTCCACAGTCATATTTCGGGGACCGAAGCTGCAGCCGTCTGGCACCAGGCAGGACTATTTCGGTGGCGGCGCGTGCCTGGCCGCCGACCCAGGCCCCGACTCCCGCTCCACGTGCGGAGCGGCCGCCGCCCAGCCCCGTGCCGGGTGGGCCGGCGGCGGCTCGTCTCGGGCCGCCGCCGCCGCTGCCGCTGCCGGCGGCCGCTCAACTGATCAGCCGCCGCGACCTGCTGATCAATACAGACGGCATGGGCGGCGGCCGGCCGGCCGGCCGGCACGCTCCAGTTCGCCCGGCGCCGATTCTGGCCGACACCACGCGCGTGCGGCGTCCGGCGCGACACCTCACCGGGCCGCCCGGCCGCGGCAGAACACAGCACCGTGCGTGGCGGCGGCGGCGGCGGCGGCGGCTGTGGCTCACCAGGAAGAGCTCACCCCGCTGCGGAGGAGACGCCGGCGGCAGCGCGGCAGCAGCAGATCGGGCTCGGTGCGGCCACGCATCAGACGCCGTTCCCATGCGGCCCGCGGCCGGCCGACCAGGTCCGTGACGTCAGAGGGACGTGACGTCAGCGCCGCCGGCGCCGGCCGGCCAGACGGCAGAAGGCGGGCAGCAGACAAGTTCACGAGCGCCCAAACGCCCGACGACGGCGCCAGCGCGCCTCAGGACGCTGTAATTGCAGGTCGGCGGACTGCCGGTCTGAAAACGGCCCCGGGAAGCGCCCGCACGATGGATGAGCAAAAGCGAGGACGGATTTAGATTCTCACAGCCGACGAGCTCTGTAAAATCCTCAGACGCGAGCCTAAACAGCTTAGCCGTAACGGAATTGTGCATCAGAGCTGCAGAGACGGCCGCTAACGAGACACATGTCCCGCGACGTTCGAAGCGCCATTTCTAAATGTGACTTGCCCCTGTGCTGCGTGATGCTATTTCCGGTCACATCAGCGGCCGACCGGCTCGATTCGAAGAGGAGATCGCAGCCCGACAGCGAGCATGACGCCATGTGACGACAACGCAGCCCCACCGCCGAGATTGCTGACGCGGAGGCAGCGGTGACATCCAGCACGGCGCCAGCAGATGATGTCCGAGACAGCTCTCGCATCACGTGAGACAGTCTGGTGATGCTGGGGCGAGAACCAGCTCCGCCGCAGCGCAGCCGGCGGGTCGCCGGGGCCGGGGTCCCACGTGTCCGGGTGCACCGCCACCGCCTCGGCGCGGCGGCGGACGGCGTATCGAACACGCACACGCGCCCACACCAGCACGCGGCCAGCAACAGCGGCCGCCGGCATCGCAGACGGCACCGGCGTTCCAGAACAGCAGGCCGACGGCCGGCCGCCGCCGCCGGAGGCCTCCAGCGGGAGCGGCGGCCTGACGACGGCGCCGCTTCAGTGTCGCAGCGGCCTTGCCAGCGGCCGAGGGCGCCCGGCAGCCACGTCAGCCATCCATCAGCGGCGGCCGGCAGCGCACATCTCCGCCTCGGGCCGACGCCGGGCCGTGCGTGAGACAGCCTCGCTGTCACCGCGCCGGCCGTCATTCATTTTTCAGCAGCGGCGGCGGCGGCGGCGGCGGCGGGCGCACCGGGACGCCCGCCGCGATCAATGCCCAGTCTCCGGCGGACCGCGCGGCGGCAGCGGCGGCGGCAGCGGCGCCCGACCGCGGCTGGGTGCGGGCGGCGGCGACGGGGCGGGATGGACTGCGGAGGATGCCACAGCGGCCGAGGACGACGCAGAAGCCGAGCGTTCCGTCCTTCGGAGGACGCACGTCAGTCTGGGCAGCTACAGGGCTCCGAGGCTCACGTCCACCCTTCGGAGGACGCACGTCAGTCTGGGCAGCTACAGGGCTCCGAGGCTCACGTCCGCCCTTCGGAGGACGCACGTCAGTCTGGGCAGCTACAGGGCTCCGAGGCTCACGTCCGCCCTTCGGAGGACGCACGTCAGTCTAGGCAGCTACAGGGCTCCGAGGCTCACGTCCGCCCTTCGGAGGACGCACGTCAGTCTGGGCAGCTACAGGGCTCCGAGGCTCACGTCCGCCCTTCGGAGGTCGCACGTCAGTCTGGGCAGCTACAGGGCTCCGAGGCTCACGTCCCGGTACCTCCCGAACTTCAGCCGACACTCGTGTCCAAGCGCACAGCAGGCAAATGACTCGAACACCCATATCTCCAAAAGCCGGACAGAGCAACAAACGACGCAATGCCGGCGGTGCTCGGGCGCCGGTCGGTCACCTTGCTGGCTGGTCTTGTCGGGCGGCGGGCTCTCGCTGCGGTCGCTGGGCGACGGCGGCGTGGGCGGCCGGTCCGGGTAGCCGCCGGCGCCGCGCGACGGCTCGCCACCGTAGCCGCCGTAGTCGGAGCCGGGCGGGCCGTACGCGTACTCGGGCGGCGGCGGGTACGGCTCGTAGTCACGGTAGCCGTGGCCAGCGTACGGGTCGTAGTTCCGGCGCGAGTCTGTCGGCGCGGCGGCACGGTTAGCACGCGTACGCACGGTGTGGCCTCCAGAGGCAAGGACGTACGGCACGCCAGGCGACGGGAGCTCACATTTTCGCTGATATTGGATTGGGGTATCAGTGCAGTGAACATCACGTGCCCACATGCGGCCCCCACACATGCAATCATCAGGCAACACAACGTCTCATGAGCGGGATCGTAAACATGGAGTCAGTCCGAAACTTCCAGCCAAACATAATCCATAGGCCCGAAGTGTCGTTACTTCTGCGAAGTCGGCCCATCGCAGCGTGTCAACCGTGAGTATCGGCTTAAACGAGCTCATGAAGTTCTACACGACCGTCCCTCCAGCGTCCTAATGAGGCGTTCTGAAGTTCACAGGAAGCCTTTCCTTGTAATATCGCTTTACACCAGAAAGTGTTGCGCAAACAACGAAATAATCCGTCGTAACCATTGCAGTAAACGCTTTATCCTCACGCTCCGCAGAAAACGACTTCCTTCATTACGCGCCAGCATTGAGCCGACGAAGGCAGCGCTCAGCAGTTAGCACGACGCCATCTATCCCGCGGGAGGAGCGCGCCCGACAGCGACACACGACCGTCGCCAGAGCGGCGGCTCGGCCGGGCCCGGCCGGCAGTGAGCGGGCCGGGCCGGCGCACCCTCCGCCGGAGAGCCATCCATCAGCGCCGCCGACCTCTGTCGACAAACATGCTCGCCGGTGCCGGAGCCGGCGCCGGCGCCCTCCCTTTAATCTGGGAGTGTTGGTCCGCCGGCGCCGCCAGCGCTGCCGATCGCGGTGATCTCCGGAAGTAACGACCCCACCCCCGCCGCAGAGCGCCGAGCGGCGAGCGTCACCCGGTGCCCGCTCGGCACCGAGCGTTCCGCGCCGCCGCCGGCGCGCGGAGAGGCCCCGACGCTGACACGCCACGGGTCGGCTCGATTAGCGCGCCGGGTTTACGGGCGCGCCGAGCGGTCATTTGGCGACACCGTCTGATTTACAAGACCAGCGAGGGCGTTTGCGGCCGGCGCGGCCCGCCGGCAGTCTCCTGCAGTGCGGTGTTGCCATCGACCGGGGCGGCAGATCCCAGCACGTGCCCGTGACTGCCGCCAGCCGGCACGGGGATCAGCGACGGCCGGGGCGCCGCCTCATAACGGCACCGCTGCTGACGGGGATTAGGCGCCGCCGGCAAAGCGGCCGCCGGCCGGCAACAGGCGGCACTGCCAGGGGAGGACACACCGACAGTGAGGAAAGGACACACCGGCGGCGAGGAGAGGACACACCGACGGTGAGGAGAGGACACACCGACGGTGAGGAGAGGACACACCGGCGGTGAGGAGAGGACACACCGACGGTGAGGAAAGGACACACCGGCGGCGAGGAGAGGACACACCGGCGGCGATGAGAGGACACACCGACGGCGAGGAGAGGACACACCGACGGTGAGGAAAGGACACACCGGCGGCGAGGAGAGGACACACCGGCGGCGATGAGAGGACACACCGACGGCGAGGAGAGGACACACCGACGGTGAGGAAAGGACACACCGGCGGCGAGGAGAGGACACACCGGGGGCGAGGAGAGGACACACCGACGGCGAAGAGAGGACACACCGACAGTGAGGAGAGGACACACCGACGGTGAGGAGAGGACACACCGACGGCGGGGAGAGAACATATTGGCGGTGCAGACGCCGGTGGCGAGGAGGGACGCGCAGACGAAGGGCACACACTAAGATGGAGCGGCAGCCGTTGCAGAGCGATTTTCCAGGTTTGTTTCATTAGCCAGCTTCACGAATTACAAACTTACGGCGTCGCTGACGATATTACAGATGCTCCAAGAACGATACCACCAACGGCGGTGTGCACCAGCGACAAAAATACAGACAGCGCGCATGCACAAGCGCAGACCAACGCTACCAGCTGAAGGAGATCAGCGCTAATGAGCGGACGCCGGCCAACCCCAGGCAGCGTTCCGCTCTTCAGACGGCCAGCGACACTGGAGCTGGGCTGGGTGGTCCGAGTGGTCCACTGTCGGGGAAGCTCGGCTCCAGCGCTCAGCCGTCACACGAAGGGCGCAGGGCATGCCCTGACCCGTTATAGCCTGAGGCGAAATACCAGGTCACCACTCACGCGGTCCAAACGGCAGAGTCAGGGCGCTACAAATGGCCCGGGACAATGGAGCCGATGTCACCAGTCGACGGCGTTTCGGAGCGTCGGAGGTCGTCCACCGCGGATTACGACAGCCGACATCGGGCATTGGGAGGCGGTCTGACGGAGAGAAGCGCTCAGTGCCCCACTGGACCGCCGCTCGGACCAGCTCAGCGCCGCCATCAGGGCCGCTCTAGCGCGACACGGCTCGCGTTCGGCCGCCGCCATTCCCTCGACTGGGACCCGAACCACGTCACCTCTCAGCGCCGCTGCCAGTCCCTCGACCGAGACCCGAACCGCGTCACCTCTCAGCGCCGCTGCCAGTCCCTCGACTGAGACCCGAACCACGTCACCTCTCAGCGCCGCTGCCCGTCCCTCGACCGAGACCCGGACCGCGTCACCTCTCAGCGCCGCTGCCCGTCCCTCGACCGAGACCCGAACCGCGTCACCTCTCAGCGCCGCTGCCGGTCCCTCCACCGAGACCCGAACCGCGTCGCCTCCCAGCTACGCCGCCAGTTCCTCGCCTGAGACCCGAACCGCGTCACCTCTCAGCGCCGCCGCCAGTCCCTCGGCTGAGACCCGAATAGCGTCGCCTCTCAGCGCCGCCGCCGGTCCCAGCTGACCGCTCGGAGGCGGACATTGAGCGGGTGGCGGTGGCGGTGGCGGTGGCTGGGGCTGACGCCCGCTGCACGGGCCGGCCGCCGCCGCCAGCTGCGGACAGCGGTGACGGCCGCGCTCGGCGCGCCGGCCGACACATCACGACGGGCCGAGCTGCTGCTGCCGGCGGCCCCTGACGGCGGAGACGGTCCCGTCCACCGCGCCCGACGGCGCACCGGCCGACACATCACGGCGGGCCGAGCTGCTGCTGCCGGCGGCCCCTGACGGCGGAGACGGTCCCGTCCACCGCGCCCGACGGCGCACCGGCCGACACATCACGGCGGGCCGAGCTGCTGCTGCCGGCGGCCCCTGACGGCGGAGACGGTCCCGTCCACCGCGCCCGACGGCGCACCGGCCGACACATCACGGCGGGCCGAGCTGCTGCTGCCGGCGGCCCCTGACGGCGGAGACGGTCCCGTCCACCGCGCCCGCCCGCTGGCGGAGACAGTCCCGACCAGTCACAAGCTGGAGCCAACGCATTTTTAATACGCCTATCTCCTTATGACGACTATCAGGCGCATTGTCGCATTCAGCCAACGTTGAGAGCCCCATGTGGCATGTGGCGGAGCCCATGGACCCGAATGCTTCTTCCACTTGTTTAGCACTGGTGCTACTGCCGGCTGTGCTCAGCGCAGGACGCTCGTACCACGGGACGGTCAGAAGCCCTCGTCGCAGCGAACACACCGACGGCTAGCCAGACACGCGCACGTCATGAGACCTACCGCCCCGGGAATACTGCCACGCACTCGACCCGAAGCCCGCCACCGAAAGCTGAGCTCCAGTGCGGCCCAACATCGAGCCAGCCATTATGCCTCACAATAAGGCATTCCAACTCCGCCTCAAACAACACGTTATACAGCAAAGGAACGCGAGCCTCAACACCTGACTTAAATTCACATTACCACTTGTTTTACTGCGGTTCTGTTTGAAATCTGGCTTTGTTTTTATTCGAGTACTTGCTTTGATAGTCCGGCGAGCTTGACGACCGTTTTATGTATCCATGACGGGAAACGGTCAAACCGTTTCTGGAGATGTAGTAAGGAATATGTACATCTATTCCCAACGGGTTTCACGCAATGGACGAATGTTTTGGGTCGACGCATCAAAGGGAATACCGAAGCCGCGCTATAGGGCGTAGTTCACTTGAAGTACAGGTACATAGGTACAGTACACGTAGTACAGGGCGTAGCACCTGGTCCGGCCCGGCGCCTGCCTCTGCCAGCGCCGGCCAGGCGCCCACCTCTGCCAGTGGCGGCCGGGCGCCTGCCTCTGCCAGTGGCGGCCGGGCGCCTGCCTCTGCCAGCGCCGGCCGGGCGCCCACCTCCACCAGTGGTGGCCGGGTGCGGCCTACCGCTGGCGGTCGGTGTCGACCGCACGGTCGACAGCAAGCCGCCCCACCCAACAAGGCGGCGGACGTCTTCGACCGCGCCGCGGCGCCGACCGCCGGGCGCTCGGCGGACACCCCCAGCGACCCCCGCCGGCCGTCGGCGGGGCTCCGGACGCCCGAGCCGACACTCGACTCAGCGCTCTGCGCGCCGGGCGCCGGCTTCGGCGCCGCACCGGCGGCCGCGGCGCGCCCGGCGCCGGCAGAGGCGGCCGCCGGGTCGATCATCCGCCAACACCGGCTCCGTGCGCCTCTGACAAATGTGGCCGCGGGCGTTTGGGCCCGGCTGGCCGGCCGGCCGGTGAGCGTGGCGGCCCGCAGGACGCCCGCCGCCACTCCGCCAGACAACATCGACCAACGGTCGGAGGGGCGAGCGGTCGCCGAGGTCGACCGCGGCCGCGCCGCCCACCCGTGACCGCCCGACGACTGGGGCAGGGCGCCGGCGACACCGGCGGCAGTCTGCCCTGGGGTAACCTGCGGTGCCTCACGACACCGCGCGGGGCTGTGCGGGGCGGCGGCCGCGTCACGTCTCGGCAGCCATGGCCGGGCAGTGGACAGAGCGCATGTGCCGCCACCGCCCTCACGTGAACGCAGCGGATGCGGCGAGGTACAGGGAGTGGGAGCCCAGTTCACGCGGAGGAACGCTAGCTGGTCTGACCCGGCCCGCCCCGGAGGCCATGGCCGTCGATGCTGACCGCGCCGGGCGACGGCCGAGAGCGCTCAGCCGGTTCCCGGAGTCATGTCCGCCGGCGTCGATCGTCAAACACGACAGCTGACGATCGACAGTGTCGGTCCGTCCGCAGCTGCAGCTCCGCCCGAGCCGCACGTCGAACACGACAGCTGACGATCGACAGTGTCGGTCTGTCCGCAGCTGCAGCTCCGTCCCAGCAGCACGTCGAACACGACAGCTGACGTTTATCAAACTCAACCATCACCAGCTATACACCTGCCGCTACATTTCACCTCCGCTCGCCTCACCTCACCTTATCTCCCCTTACCTCATCTCATCTCACGTCACGTCACGTCACGTCACGTCACGTCATCTCATCTTGTGTCACGTCACGTCACCTCATCTTACGTCACGGCACGTCACCGGCGCCCCGTCGGCGGTCTGCCGCGGGCGCTCGCTCACCCTGCTCGCTGCCGGGGCTGCCCGGCCGGTACGGGTCCATGGCGTAGGGGCTGTAGTCGGGCGCGGCGGCGTAGTACTCGCCGCTCTGGTTGGGGTCGATCACCCGGCCGTCGGGCCCGATGTGATGCACCTCTCGGAACACCTTGGTCACGGTCGTCACCTGCCGACGGGCGGCGCGCCGGTCACACACACCCAACGCCGGCCACGTCACCGCCACAAACACACGCAACAATCGGACAATGAAGGGATCAAGCTGACGACAGGGCGTTTCCAGGGAACTGCACTTCTCGTAGGTTCAATGCGCAGCGGCTTGCGCCGGCGGACGGACAGAGCGTACGCTGGTGCAGCTGGCAGCCGCTGGGAGCTGTGGGAGCCGCAGCAGTGGTGGCCGGCCGTCGCCGCAGAGCGTTCTCTGCCGCCGCACAGCGTTCGTTAGCAGTGTAAACACCTCGCCGCTGGCTGCAGCCGGCGGCAGTCGGAGAGCGGCGTCATGAGAGCGGCGTCAGGAGAGCGGCGTCAGGAGAGCGGCACCAGGAGAGCGGCACCAGGAGAGCGGCGTCAGGAGAGCGGCGTCAGGAAAACGACGCCAAGAGAGCGGCGTCAGGAAAGCGACGCCAGGACAGCGGCGTCAGGAGAGCGACGGCAAAAGAGCGGCGTCAGGAAAACGACGCCAAGAGAGCGACGCCAAGAGAGCGACGCCAGAATAGCGACGTCAGGAAAACGACGCCAAGAGAGCGGCGTCAGGAGAGCGACGCCAGGAGAGCGGCACCAGGAAAGCGACGTCAGGAGAGCGGCGTCAGGAGAGCGACGACGCGAAAACAGCAGCGTCAGGAGAGCGACGCCAGGAGAGCAGCGCCAGGAGAGCTGACTGCAGTCCATATCACCGACTCGGAGAGCGGCACCAGCTGCAGCCGGGCCAGGCCCATTCCGCTGGCCGGCCCCGATACCAACCCGCGGAGAGCTCGGCCCATCCAATTCTGATGTACTGGCCCAGCGGCGAGCAAGACACCTGGGGATCGTGGCCGCCGCCAGCCACGCCCACATGGCCCGTGACCTCCATCAGAATGTCCCGCCCCTCCCACAGCCAGCCTGAAACTATTCCCCATAGCCCAGTGAACTTACCGAAATGGCCGAGCGTTTGCCGACAAAGGCACAGATCGGCCGCGCGTTTGCGTGTAAATCAAGCCGATAATGAGCAACGGGCACGTTGAGCCTCCGTTGCCCAATGGTCGCAAGGTGAAGTAAAGGCTGTGGGGCGGGTCGATAGTCTATTGTGTGTGCTCGTTGGTTCGATCTGCAGGCCTTTAACACGCTGCGCGAGTGCAGGTCGGGTCATTCGCTGTGTGCTGTCGGCCGTTGGCTCGTGTGTGCTCGTCGTCGTCGGTTCGCTGCGTAGCTAGTCCGCCGTTGAACACGGACTCCGCCGGTCCGTGGCGGGGAAAGCGGCGTCAGCACCTGCGTCGTTACCGTCGGCGCGTCGCACTTCCGCCCAGGAGCGGCCGGCCGCCGCCAGACGCCGGGCGGCGTGGCGGGTCACGCGGCCGCCGCCGGCACGCTGCCCGGCCGTTCCCCATCGATAAGCCGAGCGGCCGGCTCTGTCGGCCGTCGGCGGATTTCCGCGCCGGCCGCCAGCCGCAGAATAATGGCGCGCCCAGCCGTGATGAGCATATAAAACGCGCCCAATGGCAGCATGATAAACCCCCGTCGTTAATTCGCTCCGACTGCGCGGAACACGGACGGCCGCTGACCTGGCCCGGCGGTCGAACGGGCGTCACTAGCCCCCACACACGCCATCAGGCACGCACTCCACCGGCCTCACTGCATGCAGCTCTCACACCGCACCGCCGGGCAGCACAGCACAACCGGCACATCAAACTGCCACCACCGGTGCCCGGTAAACACACAGCCCACGCTAGAGTCGTGCAGCCCCTGCCCGCTGTCGCCTGACACTGCGTCCTGTCCTCAGGAGGGCCGACGCATCTGCATGCAGCGTCGGCCCGCGTGCCTGCTGCGGCCCACGTGCCTGGCCGGGCGCGGGCCGCGGCGCAGAGCGGGTGGTCAGAACCGGACGGGCGCGGCCAGCGTCGGTGACGCCAGGTGATGCCATGTCCACCACCCGACACCCGGCGGTCAGCGCCAGCTGAAAAGGGCCGCCGCCCGAGTGGACCGGCCACGTTACAGCGACAAAAGGCATACCTCGCTCGGCGTAGGGGCGGCGCCAGATGACGTCAAATGACGTTAGATGATCGCGCTACGTCACGGCCGGAGGCTTCGATAAACCCAAGGCGCTCCCCAGGCCTGGGTAGACCCGGGGTGCCCCCAGGCTTGGGTAGTCCCACTGCGCTCATCCGAAGTTTAGATAGACTTACGGCGCTCCCCAAGACTTGGGTAGACCCAGGGCGCTCCCCCGCCCCCCCCCCCCCCCGCAGCCCAAACATCGTGCAATCGAAACCCTGCACAAGGATTTCGGTCCCATCGCCGATCGCCGGCGGCGGAGATGGCTGCCGGCGGAGGGCGCGAGGCCCGTGCGTCTCACTCGGGGGCTCAATACAGGCGACGCGTCCGTGTGGCGGCAGCGTGCCCCGGGAGTTTTCTTCCGAGCAGAGACGAATGTCCCAGGAGTTTGCTACCCCAGCAGAGAAAGTGCCCCAGGAGTTTGCTACCCCAGCAGAGAAAATGCCCCAGGAGTTTTCTACCCCAGCAGAGACGAGTCCGCTAGGAGCTTTCTGCCCAGCAGAGAAGAGTGCCCCCGGAGTTGTCTACCCCAGGAGACGAGAGTACCCCCGGAGTTGTCTACCTCAGGATAAAAGAGTATCTCAGGAGACGGAAGACGCTCAGTGAGTCGAGAGAGTGCTCCAGGAGTCGGACGAGCGCCCAAACGTCAGCAGACAAGGCATCAGCACAATGAGTGATTACCCCCGGGAACAGGAAAAGTGCGGGTCAAACAAGTACCCCAGGAGTCGGCAGATTGTTCCCGAAGCCGGCAGAGTGACTCCGGCGCCGGTGTTGACCCGCCGTCCGGACGTGCCGGGCGGCCCGGCGTGCGGCAGGCGCACCCAGCCGTGCATCACGGGCGGCAGAAGCATGCAGCCGGCCGCGTCGGCCCACGTGCCGCGGCCTCCGCCGCCGGCGCCAGCGGGGTGCGAGGGTCAGTGGGGAGAGCAGCGGGCAGCCGGGACGGCCGCCGGTCTGACCGTGCCGGCGGTCCGCGCGTGCGCGCCCGAGCGCTCTACCTGCTGCGTGGTCGACTGCTTCTGCGTGCGGCTGATGAGTTGCGACTGCTGGCCGTTGGCCTGCTGCGGCGGCGCGGCCGTCTGCTGCTGCTGCTGCTGCGGCTGGTACTGCAGGTCCACGCTGTACCTGACCGGGTCGGCGTCGCCGCCCTCCGCGCTGCACGGCCGGCGGCAGAGAGAGGGAGGGCAGGCGGACGGGCGTCAGTGACGGCGCATGCGGTGCGGACGGCGCAGCGACGGCGGAGCGGCAGGCGGGCGTCCCCCAACCCCGTGGTCACGGGCTGCCAACCCGTGGAAGGCCCACCGCGGCTGGAAGACCCGTCAGAGACAGGGTCTGTGGCGCGTGCAGAGCTCACGTCTGACTCTGGCCACGGAACGACGCAAGGGGCAACTACGGGCGAATGTTGGCAAACAGGCCAAAAGAGAGTCAGGGACTAGTCATGAGTTTCGAGCACGGCAAAGTGATACAAGGCATGAGCCACTGGGCTGAAGCACTTACCGGCAAAAGAGGCCGGCAGTGACTCCTCGCTGACTCAACGGAAATGCCTGAGTGCCCCTTGACCGACGAATCAATACGCTTATGAGCACCGCCCAACCCAGCACGGGAACACACCCTGGCCAGCCGCCCACGCCGTCCGCGCCGTCCACCCAAACAAAACCCTCAGCAGTAACGGAAAACCAAACGGTGCGCTGACAAAACGATCAGGAAATCACACCAAACGTCGGGAGCTGACTAGTGGCACATGCGGGCGGTCACACGGCATGCGGCGGCGGCCACACGGCCGCTGGTGGGCCTCACACGCGGCTGGCGGCATGCAGGGTCCTCACACGGGTCACGCACTCACTGCGGCGGCCGGTCGGCGGCGCCCGGCACACCAGCACAGCTCACGGCCGCGCCGCCAGTCAGCGGCGTCACCCGATCGGTGGGCGGCCGGCGGCGGCGCGCGCCCGCGGCCCCGACCGCGCCGGCTCGCCGGCCCGGCCGGCACGGGGGCGGGACGTGACCGGTGACAGGACGCAGGCCCCAGCCGACTGTCAGCTAAACTGAGCGCTGAGCTCAACTGTCAATGAGCTCTTCTGATGATTGTATCACTTTTAAGCTGCACAGCCGATCTTGTTTCAGATTTCCCAGTTATAGATGCAGTGGATCTTGTTTCAGTTTTTTCCAGTTATCAAAGTGCCTTCCTTCGCGACCGAGGTCCCCCACTCACAAAAGTTCCTTTCGCTTCGCATTTCCCCGTAACACATCAAGTGGGATGTGAGCGTCGTTGGAGGCCGCATCTAACACACCTGGAGGACTAACGCCGGCAATGAACAGCGCTCGTCCGACTGCGGGTCCGGCGCCGGCAGACGGCCCGCGGCGCGCAGGGTCCCCAGGTCACGACCCTGACCGGCGGCGGGCGCGGGGCCCCAGCCCACAACACAGGCCGTCGTCTAAATCAGGCGCCCCGCCACCGCCGCCTAAACAGCGCTCGATTACGGCGACGGCCGTCCAGCAGCCGGACGCGCCCCCATACCGACCGCGACCAGTCTCTGCGACGCCTCCAGCAGCCAGACGCGCTCCCATACCGGCCGCGACCAGTCTCTGCGACGCCGGCATCACCCAGAGTCCAGGCTGCACATGACCGGCGAGGATGGCCCCACCATGCTCCAGTCCAAACATTACGAGTATCTGCGCCCATGACTGAATAATGTACTGGTCAGCACAGCGTGCTAAATAGCGTGCTGTGCTGGTGCGCTAAGCCACATGACAAACGACTCCCCGACAGGCTCCAGCCTCGGACTTTGCTTTGAAGTTATAAATTCGGCTGTTTTTTAATCTGATTCTATTCTCACAATTGCACGCCTCGCGGGAATCACAGAATTCCATCACATTTGGCTAACGGAACTACAAAGACGCGATGTTCATCCTCTTCGCCACAAAAAACGGGTCCTTCCTCGAGAGGCCCGTTATCAATTCAGTAATAAGCTGTGCTGCGCACATTAGCGTCTGCATGAGGTGATTCAGAGAATGAACTCCCGGCGGAAGCTCGGTAAGAGTGGGAGCAGCGGCGCCGAGCGAGAGCGGGCGCTGGCAAGGCCGGCGCAGCGGAGAGGGCGGCTGCCTGCCGGGCTTCCCTAGGCGACCCACTCGGAGGCCATCATCAGCCACTCCTGCAGAGGTCGAGCGCGCTCATCAGCCGCTGGCGAGCAGGCCTGGCCAGGCTGTCCCCCCGGGAGCATAAACAGGGGGCAGGGAGCCCACATGTCGTCCTCAGACTCAATCACGGCCGTCTCGACCACGCCTGGCGACGCCGGCAAGAACGGCCCGCCGCCGGCCGGTCAATGGCAGCTAGTTAATAACCTAGAGCTGGCAGACGTCCCAGCCCGACACGCCGGTGCCGCTGCTTAGCTGGGTCGTGTCATCCAAACCGTCGGCTCCACAGCGCCCTCTTATTGCCGCCGCTGCAGCAGTCAAAACTCATCCGGCGTAAGTAGGAGCATTACCCGCTACTTACGCGTTTCAAGTGTTTGGGTCATGATAACATGCCCTAATTATGACTTAAATGCCAGCTTATCGCCCACACTGCGCCCAAACGCGTCCCGCAGAGAAGATAGGGCAAACCAATTACGACCGCGTCACCCAGCGATACATAATAGCTCATTGGGGGCCGACGAAGACGAACGGTCTCCATCTAAACTCGGCTCCAATTTGTGCAAACAGCCTGGGGTGGAGGCGTCTGCGTTCCCGGGTCTGCCAGGCGGAGGCGAGGGCCCGACGACGGCACGAGCCGCCGATCGCGGAGGCACCTCACACAACCAATTCCAGCCGGACATCATCGCTCACAACCCAGCCGCGTTAACGCCAGCACGGGCAAAGGTGAAAAAAAAAACAAGGAGTTGGGTGACCTTCGAGCCCCCGCGAGGGCGGCTCCGATCGGGACGGCGCGGGTTCCGGGCGGATACGCTGAGCCTCAGCGCAGCTTGCCGCTCGAAGCCGATGGGACGCGGCCGGGAGGCGGCGGCACCGCGCGGCAGAGGGTGTGCGCTGCCGTGCCGGCGCGCGCCCGCCTGATCGACCTCATAGGACGCCGCGGCCGCCGCCAACACGTCTAGCAGACAGCCAGTGGGAGGAAGAGGAGAGCGAGCGAGCGAGAGACAGAGAGACAGAGGGAGAGAGACAGGGCGAGGCGGAGAGATAGTGAGAGAGGACTGACTAATCGAGCGCGCCTAACGAGCTACTGGCGCCGCCGGCGGCCGGCCGCCTCTTCCAAGGCAGGCTCCGCTCGGTCGTGCAGCACGCGCCTAGAACGCCACCGGGCGGCGCCGTCACGCCGGACGGCGGACGCCACAGACTCGAGCGCGGGCCGCCGCCGCCGCCCGGACCAGCGTCCATAGTCGCGGCGCCGTCACCAGTCCGACCGGCCGCCACCGGCCACGCACGCAGCCGCCGGGGGGCGAGCACGGCCCGGTCCGGCCCAGATAGAGGCGGGCCACTGACTGATGGTGCTGGACCGCCAGCTACGGCGGCGGCGGCGGCGGCAGCGGCCCACAGGCGGCGCGCCCCAGTCCCGTGCGACCTGACGCTACTCGAGCCACTTACCTATGCGAGAATTCGACCCGCTTAACGGTGCGCTCTTTGCGCTACTGAACGCGCTCCACCACCCTGAACGCACGAGCCGGCGAAAACGCCGCATCAGGCCGGGGCCGACGGGTGGTTAGTGGGCGCGCGCACGCCGAAGGCGACGACGCTAACACGAGCTCGGTGCTCCCACATTCACCCGGTTAGGTGGCAAGCACGCTGATCAGTGCATGCTACTGGAAGGAACGTGACCTGTTAGGTTAACATGATCTGTAGAACTTTCATGTCACATTGCTCCCCTGCCTCGGAATCAGTCGGCAGTGAGCAGAGCACGCTACCAGGCGGGAGTCAGGCCGCCCCAGGCGATATAAACCGAACGGGCAAGTCACTGTCGGAAGCCGCGAACGGTCCACGGTCCAACCGAGTGGATAGCCAATAACCTTAAGTGGTCATTCAGACCTGTCGTGGGAATACAACGGGAAGGATTTCTATTGACATGGTTGCCAACTGACTGACTTTGGAGACTTGGGAAGGCTGCCGGGGAGCTGGTTCTTGCCAGGGCAATACTGGGCCGGTGCCGGTTGGATGGGTCCGGCCAGAGTTGCCGTGATCTCTGGCCCAGCGGAGTACTCACGGCCGGCACCACCACCATACCATCAGGCGAAACCGAGTCCACCCGATGGACAACTCTCAAGTGTCCAACGCGGTCATCCTCCTCCCCCCCCCCCCCCCCCGACCTAACGGGCTCAGCACCACCGAGTAGTGTACCGCAGTTTCGCACCGGTAACCCCCCCCCCCCCCCGTCTCAGTTTCTCTGCCCGGGGGCGGAGGCCGACGACCAGGCGCTGACCGTGGCCGCCGCCAAGACGACAGGCCGCGTCCACCCACCAGGCGGGCGTGCTCCACGGCAGGGCGCAATTAGTGTGGCGCCGGGCGAGCTGCGGCCGCTCGTCTCGGCCGGCAGGCCGCCGCCGCCGCTCGGAGCAGGCGCCGCGGCACAACCTCTCAACGTCAGACCGCGGCGGCCGGATATTGCCCGCGTCATCAGGCGCCCGCCGCTAAAAGCTCCTCTATCTCGTGCCGACGCCTCAGACAGCACCGACACGCACCGCGTCCCAGTGCAGCTGAAACGCCTCGTCGCTCGTGACCGCCCCCCTAAAAAGGCCGGCTTTATTTGGCGTCTGGTGAGCAAAAGAGTAAAACTGCACGCGGCTCAGCCCTTGGCAGAGTGCGCGTCCATTGGCACGGTAACACACGGGGGGCGGAGGTCAGGGCGGCGGAGGCCAGGGTCGGCGGAGGTTAGGCCTGGCGGAGGTCAGAGCGGCGGAGGTCAGGGCTGGCGGAGGTTAGGGCTGGCGGAGGTCAGGGTGGCGGAGGTCAGGGATGGCGGAGGTTAGGGCTGGCGGAGGTTAGGGCTGGCGGAGGTCAGGGCCGGCGGAGGTCAGGGTGGCGGAGGTCAGGGCTGGCGGAGTTAGGGCTGGCGGAGGTCAGGGTGGCGGAGGTCAGGGCTGGCGGAGGTTAGGGCTGGAGGAGGTTAGGGCTGGCGGAGGTCAGGGCTGGCGGAGGTCAGGGCCGGCGGAGGTCAGGGTGGCGGAGGTCAGGGCTGGCGGAGGTTAGGGCTGGCGGAGGTCAAGGTGGCGGAGGTCAGGGCTGGCGGAGGTTAGGGCTGGCGGAGGTCAGGGTGGCGGAGGTCGGGGCCGGCCGAGGTCAGGGCCGGCCGAGGTCAGGGTGGCGGAGATCAGGGCTGGCGGAGGTTAGGGCTGGCGGAGGTCAGGGTGGCGGAGGTCAGGGCCGGCCGAGGTCAGGGCCGGCCGAGGTCAGGGTGGCGGATGTCAGAGCGGCAGAGGTCAGGCCGGCGGAGGCCAGGGCTGGCGGAGGTCAGGGCCGGCGGAGGGCAGGGTGGCGGAGGTTAGGGCTGGCGGAGGTCAGGGTGGCGGAGGTCAGGGCCGGCCGAGGTCAGGGCCGGCCGAGATCAGGGCTGGCGGAGGTTAGGGCCGGCTGAGGCCAGGACCGGCGAGCGGCCCGCCACTGCGCCCCGCCGGGACCCGCTCTTCAGTGCCAAACACCGGCCCGAGCTGCCCATCGGGGCGGGACAGGCGCCTTCGTCGCACGCGCCCGTACGCGGAGGGCCCCTATGACCTGCTGTGACGTGGTTACCGTCACGAGAATGTAGCGGCTTGGGGACGCCCGTGCGCCACGAGGACGGCACCTGGTGAACATGTTGCTCGCGAGGCGGGGAGAGATGCCGCACATCTACCAGGAATACAGAGACCATGCAGCATCTTCAAAACCGCGTTATCGACCACCGAATTTGGAAGGTATACATAGTCTCTTGGCCTTTTGACACGAGAACAGGCCAAACCACGAAATTCACCGAGCTTATCGTGGGGCATCACCAGTGACCTACACAACGAGAATGGTCATCATCGAACATGGTCATCAAACATGACGATGACGATGATTATACATGGCGATGCCAATGACGCCTGCGTTAGTCCTTAATGTGTCAGCTCCGCGGTGAACAATCATCACTTCACGCCGTTCACACCTTCACATTTCACACCGTATTTTGTTTACACTGCTCCAGCGCTACCCACGCCCGGTGCATACTCCTCGTCGTGCACATTCCCAATAATCATTCACCTCGAAATGTTGAGTTCAAGAGCCTTCACACCCATGCTATACGACGGCCACTGGCCATCCTGCGGCCACACACCTTTGCTTGCCGCCCAGCGCCGCCGTCACACATCAGCCGGTTCGCCTACACAATAGCAAAGATCGGCCGGAGCGGAGCGTCAGGCCGCCCGCCGCTGCCGGCCCTCAAGTCCGCCTAGACTGGACTGCGCCTCGTCTGAGCTTCTGGGCTCACAACAGACCGGCGCGGAGGAGGCCTTCCTGAGGCCGGGGCCGACACAGCCCGAGCCTCGGCCGCCCCGGGGAGCGCCTGGGGGGGGGGGGGGGGGGGCCGGCGGAGCGCCACTTACAGGCAGTCGGGGTTGGACATGTCGGGGGCGCCGGAGCCGTTCAGCGGGCCGTAGTCGCTGCCGTCCCTGCTGCCGCCCGGCCGGGAGCCGCCGTCGGACGTCAGCGCCGCCAACTTCAGCTGCAACGGAGGGACGGGTCAGACGCGCCGGCAGGGCAGCTCCGGCCGCCACACCGGCGCCAGGACCCCCGCGGCCTGATCCCAGTGGTCCCAGTGGCCGATGCATTCCCACATACAAATCACCGACGACGGCGGAGCGGTGTTACCGACGGACAGATGCACAGGGACGGTTGTAGAACAACTTAGCTGTGACGAGGAGTGTCGAACGCTGTACTACTTCGGCAGAGCAAGCTGCGTCCAGCAGTACAATGAACACTTAGAAGGAGCTAGACCGGTCGGGATGGATGTAGATGGGCAGGGGGCACAAAACAATACGTTTGATATCTCGCTGCAGACGGCTGCGGGTGAGAAGGATCGGAAACAATCGCTATGCTGTGTGACAAAAAGGTGAGAGGGACAGGAAACAAGCGCTACACTGCGTGACGAAAAGGTGAGAATGGTCGGAAACAAACCCTACACTGCGTGACAAAAATGTGAGAATGGTCGGAAACAAACCCTACACTGTGTGACAAAAAGGTGAAAATGGTCGGAAACAAACGCTACACTGTGTGACAAAAAGGTGAGAATGGTCGGAAACAAACGCTACACTGCGTGACAAAAAGGTGAGAATGGTCGGAAACAAACGTTACATTGCGTGACAAAAAGGTGAGAATGGTCGGAAACGAACGCTACACTGTGTGACAAAAAGTTTACCAGGCCGGATGCATCAGGAGCACGAAAAGTGAACTAGAGGCGAGCACAACCAGGAACAAGTATTGCAGGCAGACCGTATATCAGGAGACAGGACATCGTCACAATGACCGTAAGGTAATCTGAGCTCAGGCACCAAACCATGTATGGTGTTGGTGGCAACCATAGCTAGAAACATCCAACAAGTGCTTTTCTCACAGGCATCTGATAGACCTTGAATGGGAACACCTAGTAATAAAAGTAATGAATGAACCAGGAAAATAGCATAGCACAAATTCATAAGTGAAAAAGTTCCGGGGTTGGTGATAACCACTTACACTGATCATAAAAAAGATAAGCTTGCCACCACAGCACATTGCAAAACAACGGCGGAAATGTTGGGTGAATATGTGCACACCTCAATCCCCTCACACGATCAGGAGCGATGACATCAACAAAGATCATTGCACAAGACTTCAATACTTCATGCCGTCTGAAGCCACGAGCTGAAATCCTATACCGCGGACTCTGAGGCCGGACAACAGCACGCCACCGGTCCAGCGCGCACGGCACACGCCCACAGCACGCACGCCAACCTTCGCAACATGAGACGCAAATGTACGAGCCTTCTCTTAAGGATGACTGCAACCACTCGAGGGCCACATTAGTCGGTCCGTCCGGAGGCCCGCGAAAAAGACGCGCCACTCACATCGCCACATACGCCGGTCACCCGTCCGGCATGACGGTCCGGGAGCCGCGAGGAAGACGCGCCACTCACATCGCCACATACACCAGTCACCCGTCAGGCATGACGGTCAAACTGTTCGTCGCTCCCCCGACGGCCCCCAGCTCAAGCTTATCACCGGGTCTCCGCTCCCATCTCGGGCTGATCACCGGGTCTCCGCCCCCTCCCGGGCTCATCAACGGGTCTCCGCCCCCATTCCCGACTCGCCTCCAGGTCTCCGCCCCCTCCCGGGCTCATCAACGGGTCTCCGCCCCCTTCCCGGGCTCATCAAAGGGTCTCCGCCCCCATCCCGGGCTCGCCTCCTGGTCTCCGCCCCCATCCCGGGCTGGCCCCTGGGTCTCCGCCCTCCATCTTTGCCTCATTCACCACCGGGTCTCCGCCCCATCCCGGGCTCGCCCCGGGCCTCCACCCCATCTCGGCCTCATCACCGGGTCTCCGAGCGGGCTGGCAGAGCCCAAGTTGGCAGGCTGTTTTTCGCACGCCTGCCATATCTCGACACAAAAAATAGCCACGCCGGAGCTGAAGCCGGCTCGTCCCGGGAATCAGCCAAAGTTGGCACCAGCGCGCGCCAGCCGCCCCGTTCACAGGCACGCGCCGCTTCCGTCCCAAGTTGCACGACGGCCCGGCACGCTCCGCATCAAACGCCGCCCGACCCTAGCCCCACGGCGGCTCTAACAGGCACGTGTTTATTGCTGCCCTGTCATGTGTTTACGTCCACGACATTGCTCGCTCCTGTTTGGAATGAGCGGCTAGCAGCGAGCCCTCACGAGACCCGTGACAGGACCCCGTCGCAGTGCCGGTGCCCCGCCCCCCCCCCCCCCCCCCGCTCCATCCCCGCGGCCCGTCCACAAACACCGCGTGGCGACGGCCGACCGCACGTCCTCCACCCGCGCTCCTTCCGTCTCCGCGCGCACCAACGAGCCCGTCAAGTGTTCATCATTACGGCGGCCACGTCTGGCGCGGCGCTCGACAGGATGGGGCGGCCGTGCCGTCGGCCGGGGCCAGCCGGCCAGCCGCACCGGCGGGCCGCGCGCGGGGCAGGCGGGGGAGCGTTCCCGGAAACGGCGCTGGTCACTCGCCACACTTCAGCGGCGTCGGACGGAGCCGCCGACAAAAACCGACGGAGCCAATGAGGAACTTTGCTCAGCGTGGCACGAGCGCGGTGACTGATAACCAACGTGCGAATTATCAATTATCTTTGCGAAGAAAACAAACCTAACTAAGCCCATGGATCCAGACATATTCACCTTTCATAAACTCGTTGCGGTTTATGGTATTGCGACTAACTTAGGAAAAAATGTACACAATTTAAAAGGATACTCAACGAACTAGACGCTAGTTACGACCCAGAGCACTGCGGCCAACGTAAATAGAAAAAAAATCCCACGATTAGGCGGATATCCAATGGACTAAAATAAACAACTTGCATGACCCAAGGTCCAATGTCTTTATCATTCTTCTTTATCAATCTCTATCAATCTTCGTTTAGCTAATAGCACACTGCACCCGACACCGATTTGGAAAAAACGACATTGACCGCTTTCCAGCCGATAACTGGCGCACTTAGTACCCAACAGATGGCACGGGGTTCCGACCGGGCGCGGCGCTCGACCAGCTGGGGCGGCAGCGCCGTCACCCGGGGCAGCCGATCGGCCGCGCTGGCGGGCCATGCGCGGGGAGCGGGGGGGGGGGAGGGGGCGCCGCCGGCCGCCTCACCCCCGCATGTTACCCTGCGCCAGGCGTCCCACACCGGCCGTATCAGACCGGGCCCATCAACACCAAACTCACTGTTCACGAACACCCGCTGGGCCAGCGCCCGGACTCGTAATAAAATACTGGCTGCTAGGCCGACGGAACGTAAGAGCCAAACCTGTCTCAATGAGAGCAAGATTGCAATCAGTGACAGCAATATTTCAGCCGCTAGTTCCGGGTGAACGCCCTGATGGAAAACGACGTCGACGACGTTGACGAAGTCGTCTTGGCGCGCTAGCGAGGTATGGTTACGGATGCCGCGCAGGGCATGTGGCCACCGCAGCTTAGGCAGGGTGTTGTAACCTTATCTTAAGACTGAGTTACTCCTTGAGAACTAAAAATAGCCCTACATCAAAACGAGGCGCTCCGCCAGCTAGCCATGACACACCCAGGCCAGTCACGTCAAAGTGCCACCGGGCCCCGCGCCAGGTCACCGGCGATCCGAATGACTGTACGGTTTAACACCATAAAACCATAGGACCGTTTCGGCGAAATCACGTCCCACAACGGGCACGGCGCCGCCATTTTCGAACTGACGGAGCGCCGGCCGAGCGTGTCGAGCCCGCCGCTGCCGTCGGCGCGGGGGTGGCTTCGGCGGGTGTCGTTCGCCGGCACCGCCTCAGTTCCGGCGGGAAGCGGACCGCCACCTGAGCGGGGAGGGGGCGCCCGGGCGGGGCGTCCACACCGGCCGGCGGTGGGGGCGCGGTGACCCCACGCCGCCTGCGCCGTCCAGGGCCGGCGTGGCGTGCTGTCCCCGCCTGCCGCCCCGCCCCGCCTTTCCCCTCGACCTTGCTCCGGGACGGAGAGCTGGTCGAGCGGCCGGCGGTCGTAACGGGCTCCGGCGGCCGGCCGGCGAAGTCGGAAGTGCCTCGGGCGCCCGGCCGCCATGTTTGGAGGCTCCCACCGGATGTGTTTGGGCGAAAGCCTCGCAGCGACGCGTCTAACCAGCTTTCTTTCCAATACCAAAACGACATCCAGCACGCTATGTCTGACGCTTTGTAGTGCGCCGCAACGTCAACACCATCGCCTGAATTGGACAGCGCCTACGCAACAAATAGCATACTTGGCGCATCGATGCATGGAAAGGCCAGCAAGCAGCATGCCGAGAGTGCGCGACGGACTCGGACCACATTGCATGCATGTGGATCAGGAATGTAAAACATGCATAGGGAAGGGCATCACACATGACGCGAATGTATCGCTGACTCACTCCTGGAGTGCCATAAAGAGCATTTCAAAGTGCAGGGGCCAATTTGAGATGACAATCTCACTCAGGGATCCACTGTAAACCAGTCTCCGGTTGTTATTCAGTGCAGAGCCAGACGCCTTCGGGCACGCTTGAACAAATCCAGCACTTACGAAGACTTTCTCCAAAAGCTAACGTCGGCCACGCCCGAGGGAAATGAAAGCTTCTCTTCCCAGCGCGCCCTGAGCCCAGGGCGCTTCACCTGAACAGAAACGTAATCAGCGTCCGGGACGGACGGCCGGGCATGGTGCAGGCCGCGCCCTGAGCAGCCGGGTCAGGCTGGAACGCCAGGGACGAACGGCGCCAGCCTGCGCCGGGCATGGTGCGGGCCGCGCCCTGAGCAGCCGGGTCAGGCTGGAGCACCAGGGACGAACGGCGCCAGCCTGCGCCGGGCATGGTGCAGGCCGCGCCCTGAGCAGCCGGGTCAGGCTGGAGCACCAGGGACGAACGGCGCCAGCCTGCGCCGGGCATGGTGCGGGCCGCGCCCTGAGCAGCCGGGTCAGGCTGGAGCACCAGGGACGAACGGCGCCAGTCTGCGCCGGGCATGGTGCGGGCCGCGCCCTGAGCAGCCGGGTCAGGCTGGAGCAC